CCCACTCTATCACTGCATGCACCCACTCTATCAGTGCATGCACCCACTCTATCAGTGCATGCACCCACTCTATCCAGTGCATGCACCCACTCTATCAGTGCATGCACCCACTCTATCAGTGCATGCACCCACTCTATCAGTGCATGCACCCACTCTATCAGTGCATGCACCCACTCTATCAGTGCATGCACCCACTCTATCAGTGCATGCACCCACTCTATCAGTGCATGCACCCACTCTATCAGTGCATGCACCCACTCTATCAGTGCATGCACCCACTCTATCAGTGCATGCACCCACTCTATCACTGCATGCACCCACTCTATCACTGCATGCACCCACTCTATCAGTGCATGCACCCACTCTATCAGTGCATGCACCCACTCTATCAGTGCATGCACCCACTCTATCAGTGCATGCACCCACTCTATCAGTGCATGCACCCACTCTATCACTGCATGCACCCACTCTATCACTGATGCACCCACTCTATCACTGCATGCACCCACTCTATCACTGCATGCACCCACTCTATCACTGCATGCACCCACTCTATCAGTGCATGCACCCACTCTATCAGTGCATGCACCCACTCTATCAGTGCATGCACCCACTCTATCAGTGCATGCACCCACTCTATCAGTGCATGCACCCACTCTATCAGTGCATGCACCCACTCTATCAGTGCATGCACCCACTCTATCACTGGCATGCACCCACTCTATCAGTGCATGCACCACTCTATCACTGCATGCACCCACTCTATCAGTGCATGCACCCACTCTATCACTGCATGCACCCACTCTATCAGTGCATGCACCCACTCTATCAGTGCATGCACCCACTCTATCAGTGCATGCACCCACTCTATCAGTGCATGCACCCACTCTATCACTGCATGCACCCACTCTATCACTGCATGCACCCACTCTATCAGTGCATGCACCCACTCTATCAGTGCATGCCACCCACTCTATCAGTGCATGCACCCACTCTATCAGTGCATGCACCCACTCTATCAGTGCATGCACCACTCTATCAGTGCATGCACCCACTCTATCAGTGCATGCACCCACTCTATCACTGCATGCACCCACTCTATCAGTGCATGCACCCACTCTATCAGTGCATGCACCCACTCTATCAGTGCATGCACCACTCTATCAGTGCATGCACCCACTCTATCAGCTGCATGCACCCACTCTATCACTGCATGCACCCACTCTATCACTGCATGCACCCACTCTATCAGTGCATGCACCCACTCTATCAGTGCATGCACCCACTCTATCAGTGCATGCACCCACTCTATCAGTGCATGCACCCACTCTATCACTGCATGCACCCACTCTATCAGTGCATGCACCCACTCTATCAGTGCATGCACCCACTCTATCAGTGCATGCACCCACTCTATCAGTGCATGCACCCACTCTATCACGTGCATGCACCCACTCTATCAGCTGCATGCACCCACTCTATCAGTGCATGCACCCACTCTATCAGTGCATGCACCCACTCTATCACTGCATGCACCCACTCTATCAGTGCATGCACCCACTCTATCAGTGCATGCACCCACTCTATCAGTGCATGCACCCACTCTATCAGCTGCATGCACCCACTCTATCAGTGCATGCACCCACTCTATCACTGCATGCACCCACTCTATCAGTGCATGCACCCACTCTATCAGTGCATGCACCACTCTATCAGTGCCAGCACCACTCTATCACTGCATGCACCCACTCTATCAGTGCATGCACCCACTCTATCAGTGCATGCACCCACTCTATCAGTGCATGCACCCACTCTATCAGCTGCATGCACCCACTCTATCAGTGCATGCACCCACTCTATCAGCTGCATTGCACCCACTCTATCAGTGCATGCACCCACTCTATCACTGCATGCACCCACTCTATCAGTGCATGCACCCACTCTATCAGTGCATGCACCCACTCTATCAGTGCATGCACCCACTCTATCAGTGCATGCACCCACTCTATCAGTGCATGCACCACTCTATCAGTGCATGCACCCACTCTATCAGTGCATGCACCCACTCTATCAGCTGCATGCACCCACTCTATCAGTGCATGCACCCACTCTATCAGTGCATGCACCCACTCTATCAGTGCATGCACCCACTCTATCAGTGCATGCACCCACTCTATCAGTGCATGCACCCACTCTATCAGTGCATGCACCCACTCTATCAGTGCATGCACCCACTCTATCAGTGCATGCACCCACTCTATCAGTGCATGCACCCACTCTATCACTGCATGCACCCACTCTATCAGTGCATGCACCCACTCTATCAGTGCATGCACCCACTCTACAGTGCATGCACCACTCTATCAGTGCATGCACCCACTCTATCAGTGCATGCACCCACTCTATCAGTGCATGCACCCACTCTATCAGTGCATGCACCCCACTCTATCAGTGCATGCACCCACTCTATCACGTGCATGCACCCACTCTATCAGTGCATGCACCCACTCTATCAGTGCATGCACCCACTCTATCACTGCATGCACCCACTCTATCACTGCATTGCACCCACTCTATCACTGCATGACCCACTCTATTCACTGCATGCACCCACTCTATCAGTGCATGCACCCACTCTATCAGTGCATGCACCCACTCTATCAGTGCATGCACCCACTCTATCAGCTGCATGCACCCACTCTATCAGTGCATGCACCCACTCTATCAGTGCATGCACCCACTCTATCAGTGCATGCACCCACTCTATCAGTGCATGCACCCACTCTATCAGTGCATGCACCACTCTATCAGTGCATGCACCCACTCTATCAGTGCATGCACCCACTCTATCAGTGCATGCACCCACTCTATCAGTGCATGCACCCACTCTATCACTGCATGCACCCACTATCAGTGCATGCACCCAACTATCAGTGATCACCCACTCTATCAGTGCATGCACCCACTCTATCAGTGCATGCACCCACTCTATCAGTGCATGCACCCACTCTATCACTGCATGCACCCACTCTATCACTGCATGCACCCACTCTATCAGTGCATGCACCCACTCTATCAGTGCATGCACCCACTCTATCAGTGCATGCACCCACTCTATCAGTGCATGCACCCACTCTATCAGTGGCATGCACCCACTCTATCAGTGCATGCACCCACTCTATCAGTGCATGCACCCCACTCTATCACTGCATGCACCCACTCTATCAGTGCATGCACCCACTCTATCACTGCATGCACCCACTCTATCAGTGCATGCACCCACTCTATCAGTGCATGCACCCACTCTATCAGTGCATGCACCCACTCTATCACTGCATGCACCCACTCTATCACGTGCATGCACCCACTCTATCAGCTGCATGCACCACTCTATCAGTGCATGCACCCACTCTATCAGTGCATGCACCCACTCTATCAGTGCATGCACCCACTCTATCAGTGCATGCACCCACTCTATCACTGCATGCACCCACTCTATCAGTGCATGCACCCACTCTATCAGTGCATGCACCCACTCTATCAGTGCATGCACCCACTCTATCAGTGCATGCACCCACTCTATCAGTGCATGCACCCACTCTATCACTGCATGCACCCACTCTATCAGTGCATGCACCCACTCTATCAGTGCATGCACCCACTCTATCACTGCATGCACCCACTCTATCACTTGCATGCACCCACTCTATCACTGCATGCACCCACTCTATCAGTGCATGCACCCACTCTATCAGTGCATGCACCCACTCTATCACTGCATGCACCCACTCTATCAGTGGCATGCAACCCACTCTATCAGTGCCTGCACCCACTCTATCACTGCATGCACCCACTTCTATCAGTGCATGCCACCCACTCTATCAGTGCATGCACCCACTCTATCACTGCATGCACCCACTCTATCAGTGCATGCACCCACTCTATCAGTGCATGCACCCACTCTATCAGTGCATGCACCACTCTATCACTGCATGCACCCACTCTATCAAGTGCATGCACCCATCTATACTGCATGCACCCACTCATCAGTGCATGCACCCACTCTATCAGTGCATGCACCCACTCTATCACTGCATGCACCACTCTATCACTGCATGCACCCACTCTATCAGTGCATGCACCCACTCTATCAGTGCATGCACCCACTCTATCAGTGCATGCACCCACTCTATCAGTGCATGCACCCACTCTATCAGTGCATGCACCCACTCTATCAGTGCATGCACCCACTCTATCAGTGCATGCACCCACTCTATCAGTGCATGCACCACTCTATCACTGCTATGCAGCACCACTCTATCACTGCATGCACCCACTCTATCAGTGCATGCACCCACTCTATCAGTGCATGCACCCACTCTATCAGTGCATGCACCCAACTCTATCAAGTGCATGCACCCACTCTATCAGTGCATGCACCCCACTCTATCAGTGCATGCACCCACTCTATCACTGCATGCACCCACTCTATCACTGCATGCACCCACTCTATCAGTGCATGCACCCACTCTATCACTGCATGCACCCACTCTATCAGTGCATGCACCCACTCTATCAGTGCATGCACCCACTTATCAGTGCATGCACCCACTCTATCACTGCATGCACCCACTCTATCAGTGCATGCACCCACTCTATCAGTGCATGCCACCCACTCTATCAGGCATGCACCCACTCTATCCCTGCTACCCACTCTATCAGTGCATGCACCCACTCTATCAGTGCATGCACCCACTCTATCAGTGCATGCACCCACTCTATCAGTGCATGCACCCACTCTATCAGTGCATGCACCCACTCTATCAGTGCATGCACCCACTCTATCAGTGCATGCACCCACTCTATCACTTCATGCACCCCACTCTATCAGTGCATGCACCCACTCTATCAGTGCATGCACCCACTCTATCACTGCATGCACCCCACTCTATCAGTGCATGCACCCCACTCTATCAGTGCATGCACCCACTCTACAGTGCATGCACCCACTCTATCAGTGCATGCACCCACTCTATCACTGCATGCACCCCACTCTATCACTGCATGCACCCACTCTATCAGTGCATGCACCCACTCTATCAGTGCATGCACCCACTCTATCAGTGCATGCACCCACTCTATCAGTGCATGCACCCACTCTATCAGTGCATGCACCCACTCTATCAGTGCATGCACCCACTCTATCAGTGCATGCACCCACTCTATCAGTGCATGCACCCACTCTATCAGTGCATGCACCCACTCTATCAGTGCATGCACCCACTCTATCAGTGCATGCACCCACTCTATCAGTGCATGCACCCACTCTATCAGTGCATGCACCCACTCTATCAGTGCATGCACCCACTCTATCAGTGCATGCACCCACTCTATCAGTGCATGCACCCACTCTATCAGTGCATGCACCCACTCTATCAGTGCATGCACCCACTCTATCAGTGCATGCACCCACTCTATCAGTGCATGCACCCACTCTATCAGTGCATGCACCCACTCTATCAGTGCATGCACCCACTCTATCAGTGCATGCACCCACTCTATCAGTGCATGCACCCACTCTATCAGTGCATGCACCCACTCTATCAGTGCATGCACCCACTCTATCAGTGCATGCACCCACTCTATCAGTGCATGCACCCACTCTATCAGTGCATGCACCCACTCTATCAGTGCATGCACCCACTCTATCAGTGCATGCACCCACTCTATCAGTGCATGCACCCACTCTATCAGTGCATGCACCCACTCTATCAGTGCATGCACCCACTCTATCAGTGCATGCACCCACTCTATCAGTGCATGCACCCACTCTATCAGTGCATGCACCCACTCTATCAGTGCATGCACCCACTCTATCAGTGCATGCACCCACTCTATCAGTGCATGCACCCACTCTATCAGTGCATGCACCCACTCTATCAGTGCATGCACCCACTCTATCAGTGCATGCACCCACTCTATCAGTGCATGCACCCACTCTATCAGTGCATGCACCCACTCTATCAGTGCATGCACCCACTCTATCAGTGCATGCACCCACTCTATCAGTGCATGCACCCACTCTATCAGTGCATGCACCCACTCTATCAGTGCATGCACCCACTCTATCAGTGCATGCACCCACTCTATCAGTGCATGCACCCACTCTATCAGTGCATGCACCCACTCTATCAGTGCATGCACCCACTCTATCAGTGCATGCACCCACTCTATCAGTGCATGCACCCACTCTATCAGTGCATGCACCCACTCTATCAGTGCATGCACCCACTCTATCAGTGCATGCACCCACTCTATCAGTGCATGCACCCACTCTATCAGTGCATGCACCCACTCTATCAGTGCATGCACCCACTCTATCAGTGCATGCACCCACTCTATCAGTGCATGCACCCACTCTATCAGTGCATGCACCCACTCTATCAGTGCATGCACCCACTCTATCAGTGCATGCACCCACTCTATCAGTGCATGCACCCACTCTATCAGTGCATGCACCCACTCTATCAGTGCATGCACCCACTCTATCAGTGCATGCACCCACTCTATCAGTGCATGCACCCACTCTATCAGTGCATGCACCCACTCTATCAGTGCATGCACCCACTCTATCAGTGCATGCACCCACTCTATCAGTGCATGCACCCACTCTATCAGTGCATGCACCCACTCTATCAGTGCATGCACCCACTCTATCAGTGCATGCACCCACTCTATCAGTGCATGCACCCACTCTATCAGTGCATGCACCCACTCTATCAGTGCATGCACCCACTCTATCAGTGCATGCACCCACTCTATCAGTGCATGCACCCACTCTATCAGTGCATGCACCCACTCTATCAGTGCATGCACCCACTCTATCAGTGCATGCACCCACTCTATCAGTGCATGCACCCACTCTATCAGTGCATGCACCCACTCTATCAGTGCATGCACCCACTCTATCAGTGCATGCACCCACTCTATCAGTGCATGCACCCACTCTATCAGTGCATGCACCCACTCTATCAGTGCATGCACCCACTCTATCAGTGCATGCACCCACTCTATCAGTGCATGCACCCACTCTATCAGTGCATGCACCCACTCTATCAGTGCATGCACCCACTCTATCAGTGCATGCACCCACTCTATCAGTGCATGCACCCACTCTATCAGTGCATGCACCCACTCTATCAGTGCATGCACCCACTCTATCAGTGCATGCACCCACTCTATCAGTGCATGCACCCACTCTATCAGTGCATGCACCCACTCTATCAGTGCATGCACCCACTCTACTCTGCACCCACTCTATCAGTGCATGCACCCACTCTATCAGTGCATGCACCCACTCTATCAGTGCATGCACCCACTCTATCAGTGCATGCACCCACTCTATCAGTGCATGCACCCACTCTATCAGTGCATGCACCCACTCTATCAGTGCATGCACCCACTCTATCAGTGCATGCACCCACTCTATCAGTGCATGCACCCACTCTATCAGTGCATGCACCCACTCTATCAGTGCATGCACCCACTCTATCAGTGCATGCACCCACTCTATCAGTGCATGCACCCACTCTATCAGTGCATGCACCCACTCTATCAGTGCATGCACCCACTCTATCAGTGCATGCACCCACTCTATCAGTGCATGCACCCACTCTATCAGTGCATGCACCCACTCTATCAGTGCATGCACCCACTCTATCAGTGCATGCACCCACTCTATCAGTGCATGCACCCACTCTATCAGTGCATGCACCCACTCTATCAGTGCATGCACCCACTCTATCAGTGCATGCACCCACTCTATCAGTGCATGCACCCACTCTATCAGTGCATGCACCCACTCTATCAGTGCATGCACCCACTCTATCAGTGCATGCACCCACTCTATCAGTGCATGCACCCACTCTATCAGTGCATGCACCCACTCTATCAGTGCATGCACCCACTCTATCAGTGCATGCACCCACTCTATCAGTGCATGCACCCACTCTATCAGTGCATGCACCCACTCTATCAGTGCATGCACCCACTCTATCAGTGCATGCACCCACTCTATCAGTGCATGCACCCACTCTATCAGTGCATGCACCCACTCTATCAGTGCATGCACCCACTCTATCAGTGCATGCACCCACTCTATCAGTGCATGCACCCACTCTATCAGTGCATGCACCCACTCTATCAGTGCATGCACCCACTCTATCAGTGCATGCACCCACTCTATCAGTGCATGCACCCACTCTATCAGTGCATGCACCCACTCTATCAGTGCATGCACCCACTCTATCAGTGCATGCACCCACTCTATCAGTGCATGCACCCACTCTATCAGTGCATGCACCCACTCTATCAGTGCATGCACCCACTCTATCAGTGCATGCACCCACTCTATCAGTGCATGCACCCACTCTATCAGTGCATGCACCCACTCTATCAGTGCATGCACCCACTCTATCAGTGCATGCACCCACTCTATCAGTGCATGCACCCACTCTATCAGTGCATGCACCCACTCTATCAGTGCATGCACCCACTCTATCAGTGCATGCACCCACTCTATCAGTGCATGCACCCACTCTATCAGTGCATGCACCCACTCTATCAGTGCATGCACCCACTCTATCAGTGCATGCACCCACTCTATCAGTGCATGCACCCACTCTATCAGTGCATGCACCCACTCTATCAGTGCATGCACCCACTCTATCAGTGCATGCACCCACTCTATCAGTGCATGCACCCACTCTATCAGTGCATGCACCCACTCTATCAGTGCATGCACCCACTCTATCAGTGCATGCACCCACTCTATCAGTGCATGCACCCACTCTATCAGTGCATGCACCCACTCTATCAGTGCATGCACCCACTCTATCAGTGCATGCACCCACTCTATCAGTGCATGCACCCACTCTATCAGTGCATGCACCCACTCTATCAGTGCATGCACCCACTCTATCAGTGCATGCACCCACTCTATCAGTGCATGCACCCACTCTATCAGTGCATGCACCCACTCTATCAGTGCATGCACCCACTCTATCAGTGCATGCACCCACTCTATCAGTGCATGCACCCACTCTATCAGTGCATGCACCCACTCTATCAGTGCATGCACCCACTCTATCAGTGCATGCACCCACTCTATCAGTGCATGCACCCACTCTATCAGTGCATGCACCCACTCTATCAGTGCATGCACCCACTCTATCAGTGCATGCACCCACTCTATCAGTGCATGCACCCACTCTATCAGTGCATGCACCCACTCTATCAGTGCATGCACCCACTCTATCAGTGCATGCACCCACTCTATCAGTGCATGCACCCACTCTATCAGTGCATGCACCCACTCTATCAGTGCATGCACCCACTCTATCAGTGCATGCACCCACTCTATCAGTGCATGCACCCACTCTATCAGTGCATGCACCCACTCTATCAGTGCATGCACCCACTCTATCAGTGCATGCACCCACTCTATCAGTGCATGCACCCACTCTATCAGTGCATGCACCCACTCTATCAGTGCATGCACCCACTCTATCAGTGCATGCACCCACTCTATCAGTGCATGCACCCACTCTATCAGTGCATGCACCCACTCTATCAGTGCATGCACCCACTCTATCAGTGCATGCACCCACTCTATCAGTGCATGCACCCACTCTATCAGTGCATGCACCCACTCTATCAGTGCATGCACCCACTCTATCAGTGCATGCACCCACTCTATCAGTGCATGCACCCACTCTATCAGTGCATGCACCCACTCTATCAGTGCATGCACCCACTCTATCAGTGCATGCACCCACTCTATCAGTGCATGCACCCACTCTATCAGTGCATGCACCCACTCTATCAGTGCATGCACCCACTCTATCAGTGCATGCACCCACTCTATCAGTGCATGCACCCACTCTATCAGTGCATGCACCCACTCTATCAGTGCATGCACCCACTCTATCAGTGCATGCACCCACTCTATCAGTGCATGCACCCACTCTATCAGTGCATGCACCCACTCTATCAGTGCATGCACCCACTCTATCAGTGCATGCACCCACTCTATCAGTGCATGCACCCACTCTATCAGTGCATGCACCCACTCTATCAGTGCATGCACCCACTCTATCAGTGCATGCACCCACTCTATCAGTGCATGCACCCACTCTATCAGTGCATGCACCCACTCTATCAGTGCATGCACCCACTCTATCAGTGCATGCACCCACTCTATCAGTGCATGCACCCACTCTATCAGTGCATGCACCCACTCTATCAGTGCATGCACCCACTCTATCAGTGCATGCACCCACTCTATCAGTGCATGCACCCACTCTATCAGTGCATGCACCCACTCTATCAGTGCATGCACCCACTCTATCAGTGCATGCACCCACTCTATCAGTGCATGCACCCACTCTATCAGTGCATGCACCCACTCTATCAGTGCATGCACCCACTCTATCAGTGCATGCACCCACTCTATCAGTGCATGCACCCACTCTATCAGTGCATGCACCCACTCTATCAGTGCATGCACCCACTCTATCAGTGCATGCACCCACTCTATCAGTGCATGCACCCACTCTATCAGTGCATGCACCCACTCTATCAGTGCATGCACCCACTCTATCAGTGCATGCACCCACTCTATCAGTGCATGCACCCACTCTATCAGTGCATGCACCCACTCTATCAGTGCATGCACCCACTCTATCAGTGCATGCACCCACTCTATCAGTGCATGCACCCACTCTATCAGTGCATGCACCCACTCTATCAGTGCATGCACCCACTCTATCAGTGCATGCACCCACTCTATCAGTGCATGCACCCACTCTATCAGTGCATGCACCCACTCTATCAGTGCATGCACCCACTCTATCAGTGCATGCACCCACTCTATCAGTGCATGCACCCACTCTATCAGTGCATGCACCCACTCTATCAGTGCATGCACCCACTCTATCAGTGCATGCACCCACTCTATCAGTGCATGCACCCACTCTATCAGTGCATGCACCCACTCTATCAGTGCATGCACCCACTCTATCAGTGCATGCACCCACTCTATCAGTGCATGCACCCACTCTATCAGTGCATGCACCCACTCTATCAGTGCATGCACCCACTCTATCAGTGCATGCACCCACTCTATCAGTGCATGCACCCACTCTATCAGTGCATGCACCCACTCTATCAGTGCATGCACCCACTCTATCAGTGCATGCACCCACTCTATCAGTGCATGCACCCACTCTATCAGTGCATGCACCCACTCTATCAGTGCATGCACCCACTCTATCAGTGCATGCACCCACTCTATCAGTGCATGCACCCACTCTATCAGTGCATGCACCCACTCTATCAGTGCATGCACCCACTCTATCAGTGCATGCACCCACTCTATCAGTGCATGCACCCACTCTATCAGTGCATGCACCCACTCTATCAGTGCATGCACCCACTCTATCAGTGCATGCACCCACTCTATCAGTGCATGCACCCACTCTATCAGTGCATGCACCCACTCTATCAGTGCATGCACCCACTCTATCAGTGCATGCACCCACTCTATCAGTGCATGCACCCACTCTATCAGTGCATGCACCCACTCTATCAGTGCATGCACCCACTCTATCAGTGCATGCACCCACTCTATCAGTGCATGCACCCACTCTATCAGTGCATGCACCCACTCTATCAGTGCATGCACCCACTCTATCAGTGCATGCACCCACTCTATCAGTGCATGCACCCACTCTATCAGTGCATGCACCCACTCTATCAGTGCATGCACCCACTCTATCAGTGCATGCACCCACTCTATCAGTGCATGCACCCACTCTATCAGTGCATGCACCCACTCTATCAGTGCATGCACCCACTCTATCAGTGCATGCACCCACTCTATCAGTGCATGCACCCACTCTATCAGTGCATGCACCCACTCTATCAGTGCATGCACCCACTCTATCAGTGCATGCACCCACTCTATCAGTGCATGCACCCACTCTATCAGTGCATGCACCCACTCTATCAGTGCATGCACCCACTCTATCAGTGCATGCACCCACTCTATCAGTGCATGCACCCACTCTATCAGTGCATGCACCCACTCTATCAGTGCATGCACCCACTCTATCAGTGCATGCACCCACTCTATCAGTGCATGCACCCACTCTATCAGTGCATGCACCCACTCTATCAGTGCATGCACCCACTCTATCAGTGCATGCACCCACTCTATCAGTGCATGCACCCACTCTATCAGTGCATGCACCCACTCTATCAGTGCATGCACCCACTCTATCAGTGCATGCACCCACTCTATCAGTGCATGCACCCACTCTATCAGTGCATGCACCCACTCTATCAGTGCATGCACCCACTCTATCAGTGCATGCACCCACTCTATCAGTGCATGCACCCACTCTATCAGTGCATGCACCCACTCTATCAGTGCATGCACCCACTCTATCAGTGCATGCACCCACTCTATCAGTGCATGCACCCACTCTATCAGTGCATGCACCCACTCTATCAGTGCATGCACCCACTCTATCAGTGCATGCACCCACTCTATCAGTGCATGCACCCACTCTATCAGTGCATGCACCCACTCTATCAGTGCATGCACCCACTCTATCAGTGCATGCACCCACTCTATCAGTGCATGCACCCACTCTATCAGTGCATGCACCCACTCTATCAGTGCATGCACCCACTCTATCAGTGCATGCACCCACTCTATCAGTGCATGCACCCACTCTATCAGTGCATGCACCCACTCTATCAGTGCATGCACCCACTCTATCAGTGCATGCACCCACTCTATCAGTGCATGCACCCACTCTATCAGTGCATGCACCCACTCTATCAGTGCATGCACCCACTCTATCAGTGCATGCACCCACTCTATCAGTGCATGCACCCACTCTATCAGTGCATGCACCCACTCTATCAGTGCATGCACCCACTCTATCAGTGCATGCACCCACTCTATCAGTGCATGCACCCACTCTATCAGTGCATGCACCCACTCTATCAGTGCATGCACCCACTCTATCAGTGCATGCACCCACTCTATCAGTGCATGCACCCACTCTATCAGTGCATGCACCCACTCTATCAGTGCATGCACCCACTCTATCAGTGCATGCACCCACTCTATCAGTGCATGCACCCACTCTATCAGTGCATGCACCCACTCTATCAGTGCATGCACCCACTCTATCAGTGCATGCACCCACTCTATCAGTGCATGCACCCACTCTATCAGTGCATGCACCCACTCTATCAGTGCATGCACCCACTCTATCAGTGCATGCACCCACTCTATCAGTGCATGCACCCACTCTATCAGTGCATGCACCCACTCTATCAGTGCATGCACCCACTCTATCAGTGCATGCACCCACTCTATCAGTGCATGCACCCACTCTATCAGTGCATGCACCCACTCTATCAGTGCATGCACCCACTCTATCAGTGCATGCACCCACTCTATCAGTGCATGCACCCACTCTATCAGTGCATGCACCCACTCTATCAGTGCATGCACCCACTCTATCAGTGCATGCACCCACTCTATCAGTGCATGCACCCACTCTATCAGTGCATGCACCCACTCTATCAGTGCATGCACCCACTCTATCAGTGCATGCACCCACTCTATCAGTGCATGCACCCACTCTATCAGTGCATGCACCCACTCTATCAGTGCATGCACCCACTCTATCAGTGCATGCACCCACTCTATCAGTGCATGCACCCACTCTATCAGTGCATGCACCCACTCTATCAGTGCATGCACCCACTCTATCAGTGCATGCACCCACTCTATCAGTGCATGCACCCACTCTATCAGTGCATGCACCCACTCTATCAGTGCATGCACCCACTCTATCAGTGCATGCACCCACTCTATCAGTGCATGCACCCACTCTATCAGTGCATGCACCCACTCTATCAGTGCATGCACCCACTCTATCAGTGCATGCACCCACTCTATCAGTGCATGCACCCACTCTATCAGTGCATGCACCCACTCTATCAGTGCATGCACCCACTCTATCAGTGCATGCACCCACTCTATCAGTGCATGCACCCACTCTATCAGTGCATGCACCCACTCTATCAGTGCATGCACCCACTCTATCAGTGCATGCACCCACTCTATCAGTGCATGCACCCACTCTATCAGTGCATGCACCCACTCTATCAGTGCATGCACCCACTCTATCAGTGCATGCACCCACTCTATCAGTGCATGCACCCACTCTATCAGTGCATGCACCCACTCTATCAGTGCATGCACCCACTCTATCAGTGCATGCACCCACTCTATCAGTGCATGCACCCACTCTATCAGTGCATGCACCCACTCTATCAGTGCATGCACCCACTCTATCAGTGCATGCACCCACTCTATCAGTGCATGCACCCACTCTATCAGTGCATGCACCCACTCTATCAGTGCATGCACCCACTCTATCAGTGCATGCACCCACTCTATCAGTGCATGCACCCACTCTATCAGTGCATGCACCCACTCTATCAGTGCATGCACCCACTCTATCAGTGCATGCACCCACTCTATCAGTGCATGCACCCACTCTATCAGTGCATGCACCCACTCTATCAGTGCATGCACCCACTCTATCAGTGCATGCACCCACTCTATCAGTGCATGCACCCACTCTATCAGTGCATGCACCCACTCTATCAGTGCATGCACCCACTCTATCAGTGCATGCACCCACTCTATCAGTGCATGCACCCACTCTATCAGTGCATGCACCCACTCTATCAGTGCATGCACCCACTCTATCAGTGCATGCACCCACTCTATCAGTGCATGCACCCACTCTATCAGTGCATGCACCCACTCTATCAGTGCATGCACCCACTCTATCAGTGCATGCACCCACTCTATCAGTGCATGCACCCACTCTATCAGTGCATGCACCCACTCTATCAGTGCATGCACCCACTCTATCAGTGCATGCACCCACTCTATCAGTGCATGCACCCACTCTATCAGTGCATGCACCCACTCTATCAGTGCATGCACCCACTCTATCAGTGCATGCACCCACTCTATCAGTGCATGCACCCACTCTATCAGTGCATGCACCCACTCTATCAGTGCATGCACCCACTCTATCAGTGCATGCACCCACTCTATCAGTGCATGCACCCACTCTATCAGTGCATGCACCCACTCTATCAGTGCATGCACCCACTCTATCAGTGCATGCACCCACTCTATCAGTGCATGCACCCACTCTATCAGTGCATGCACCCACTCTATCAGTGCATGCACCCACTCTATCAGTGCATGCACCCACTCTATCAGTGCATGCACCCACTCTATCAGTGCATGCACCCACTCTATCAGTGCATGCACCCACTCTATCAGTGCATGCACCCACTCTATCAGTGCATGCACCCACTCTATCAGTGCATGCACCCACTCTATCAGTGCATGCACCCACTCTATCAGTGCATGCACCCACTCTATCAGTGCATGCACCCACTCTATCAGTGCATGCACCCACTCTATCAGTGCATGCACCCACTCTATCAGTGCATGCACCCACTCTATCAGTGCATGCACCCACTCTATCAGTGCATGCACCCACTCTATCAGTGCATGCACCCACTCTATCAGTGCATGCACCCACTCTATCAGTGCATGCACCCACTCTATCAGTGCATGCACCCACTCTATCAGTGCATGCACCCACTCTATCAGTGCATGCACCCACTCTATCAGTGCATGCACCCACTCTATCAGTGCATGCACCCACTCTATCAGTGCATGCACCCACTCTATCAGTGCATGCACCCACTCTATCAGTGCATGCACCCACTCTATCAGTGCATGCACCCACTCTATCAGTGCATGCACCCACTCTATCAGTGCATGCACCCACTCTATCAGTGCATGCACCCACTCTATCAGTGCATGCACCCACTCTATCAGTGCATGCACCCACTCTATCAGTGCATGCACCCACTCTATCAGTGCATGCACCCACTCTATCAGTGCATGCACCCACTCTATCAGTGCATGCACCCACTCTATCAGTGCATGCACCCACTCTATCAGTGCATGCACCCACTCTATCAGTGCATGCACCCACTCTATCAGTGCATGCACCCACTCTATCAGTGCATGCACCCACTCTATCAGTGCATGCACCCACTCTATCAGTGCATGCACCCACTCTATCAGTGCATGCACCCACTCTATCAGTGCATGCACCCACTCTATCAGTGCATGCACCCACTCTATCAGTGCATGCACCCACTCTATCAGTGCATGCACCCACTCTATCAGTGCATGCACCCACTCTATCAGTGCATGCACCCACTCTATCAGTGCATGCACCCACTCTATCAGTGCATGCACCCACTCTATCAGTGCATGCACCCACTCTATCAGTGCATGCACCCACTCTATCAGTGCATGCACCCACTCTATCAGTGCATGCACCCACTCTATCAGTGCATGCACCCACTCTATCAGTGCATGCACCCACTCTATCAGTGCATGCACCCACTCTATCAGTGCATGCACCCACTCTATCAGTGCATGCACCCACTCTATCAGTGCATGCACCCACTCTATCAGTGCATGCACCCACTCTATCAGTGCATGCACCCACTCTATCAGTGCATGCACCCACTCTATCAGTGCATGCACCCACTCTATCAGTGCATGCACCCACTCTATCAGTGCATGCACCCACTCTATCAGTGCATGCACCCACTCTATCAGTGCATGCACCCACTCTATCAGTGCATGCACCCACTCTATCAGTGCATGCACCCACTCTATCAGTGCATGCACCCACTCTATCAGTGCATGCACCCACTCTATCAGTGCATGCACCCACTCTATCAGTGCATGCACCCACTCTATCAGTGCATGCACCCACTCTATCAGTGCATGCACCCACTCTATCAGTGCATGCACCCACTCTATCAGTGCATGCACCCACTCTATCAGTGCATGCACCCACTCTATCAGTGCATGCACCCACTCTATCAGTGCATGCACCCACTCTATCAGTGCATGCACCCACTCTATCAGTGCATGCACCCACTCTATCAGTGCATGCACCCACTCTATCAGTGCATGCACCCACTCTATCAGTGCATGCACCCACTCTATCAGTGCATGCACCCACTCTATCAGTGCATGCACCCACTCTATCAGTGCATGCACCCACTCTATCAGTGCATGCACCCACTCTATCAGTGCATGCACCCACTCTATCAGTGCATGCACCCACTCTATCAGTGCATGCACCCACTCTATCAGTGCATGCACCCACTCTATCAGTGCATGCACCCACTCTATCAGTGCATGCACCCACTCTATCAGTGCATGCACCCACTCTATCAGTGCATGCACCCACTCTATCAGTGCATGCACCCACTCTATCAGTGCATGCACCCACTCTATCAGTGCATGCACCCACTCTATCAGTGCATGCACCCACTCTATCAGTGCATGCACCCACTCTATCAGTGCATGCACCCACTCTATCAGTGCATGCACCCACTCTATCAGTGCATGCACCCACTCTATCAGTGCATGCACCCACTCTATCAGTGCATGCACCCACTCTATCAGTGCATGCACCCACTCTATCAGTGCATGCACCCACTCTATCAGTGCATGCACCCACTCTATCAGTGCATGCACCCACTCTATCAGTGCATGCACCCACTCTATCAGTGCATGCACCCACTCTATCAGTGCATGCACCCACTCTATCAGTGCATGCACCCACTCTATCAGTGCATGCACCCACTCTATCAGTGCATGCACCCACTCTATCAGTGCATGCACCCACTCTATCAGTGCATGCACCCACTCTATCAGTGCATGCACCCACTCTATCAGTGCATGCACCCACTCTATCAGTGCATGCACCCACTCTATCAGTGCATGCACCCACTCTATCAGTGCATGCACCCACTCTATCAGTGCATGCACCCACTCTATCAGTGCATGCACCCACTCTATCAGTGCATGCACCCACTCTATCAGTGCATGCACCCACTCTATCAGTGCATGCACCCACTCTATCAGTGCATGCACCCACTCTATCAGTGCATGCACCCACTCTATCAGTGCATGCACCCACTCTATCAGTGCATGCACCCACTCTATCAGTGCATGCACCCACTCTATCAGTGCATGCACCCACTCTATCAGTGCATGCACCCACTCTATCAGTGCATGCACCCACTCTATCAGTGCATGCACCCACTCTATCAGTGCATGCACCCACTCTATCAGTGCATGCACCCACTCTATCAGTGCATGCACCCACTCTATCAGTGCATGCACCCACTCTATCAGTGCATGCACCCACTCTATCAGTGCATGCACCCACTCTATCAGTGCATGCACCCACTCTATCAGTGCATGCACCCACTCTATCAGTGCATGCACCCACTCTATCAGTGCATGCACCCACTCTATCAGTGCATGCACCCACTCTATCAGTGCATGCACCCACTCTATCAGTGCATGCACCCACTCTATCAGTGCATGCACCCACTCTATCAGTGCATGCACCCACTCTATCAGTGCATGCACCCACTCTATCAGTGCATGCACCCACTCTATCAGTGCATGCACCCACTCTATCAGTGCATGCACCCACTCTATCAGTGCATGCACCCACTCTATCAGTGCATGCACCCACTCTATCAGTGCATGCACCCACTCTATCAGTGCATGCACCCACTCTATCAGTGCATGCACCCACTCTATCAGTGCATGCACCCACTCTATCAGTGCATGCACCCACTCTATCAGTGCATGCACCCACTCTATCAGTGCATGCACCCACTCTATCAGTGCATGCACCCACTCTATCAGTGCATGCACCCACTCTATCAGTGCATGCACCCACTCTATCAGTGCATGCACCCACTCTATCAGTGCATGCACCCACTCTATCAGTGCATGCACCCACTCTATCAGTGCATGCACCCACTCTATCAGTGCATGCACCCACTCTATCAGTGCATGCACCCACTCTATCAGTGCATGCACCCACTCTATCAGTGCATGCACCCACTCTATCAGTGCATGCACCCACTCTATCAGTGCATGCACCCACTCTATCAGTGCATGCACCCACTCTATCAGTGCATGCACCCACTCTATCAGTGCATGCACCCACTCTATCAGTGCATGCACCCACTCTATCAGTGCATGCACCCACTCTATCAGTGCATGCACCCACTCTATCAGTGCATGCACCCACTCTATCAGTGCATGCACCCACTCTATCAGTGCATGCACCCACTCTATCAGTGCATGCACCCACTCTATCAGTGCATGCACCCACTCTATCAGTGCATGCACCCACTCTATCAGTGCATGCACCCACTCTATCAGTGCATGCACCCACTCTATCAGTGCATGCACCCACTCTATCAGTGCATGCACCCACTCTATCAGTGCATGCACCCACTCTATCAGTGCATGCACCCACTCTATCAGTGCATGCACCCACTCTATCAGTGCATGCACCCACTCTATCAGTGCATGCACCCACTCTATCAGTGCATGCACCCACTCTATCAGTGCATGCACCCACTCTATCAGTGCATGCACCCACTCTATCAGTGCATGCACCCACTCTATCAGTGCATGCACCCACTCTATCAGTGCATGCACCCACTCTATCAGTGCATGCACCCACTCTATCAGTGCATGCACCCACTCTATCAGTGCATGCACCCACTCTATCAGTGCATGCACCCACTCTATCAGTGCATGCACCCACTCTATCAGTGCATGCACCCACTCTATCAGTGCATGCACCCACTCTATCAGTGCATGCACCCACTCTATCAGTGCATGCACCCACTCTATCAGTGCATGCACCCACTCTATCAGTGCATGCACCCACTCTATCAGTGCATGCACCCACTCTATCAGTGCATGCACCCACTCTATCAGTGCATGCACCCACTCTATCAGTGCATGCACCCACTCTATCAGTGCATGCACCCACTCTATCAGTGCATGCACCCACTCTATCAGTGCATGCACCCACTCTATCAGTGCATGCACCCACTCTATCAGTGCATGCACCCACTCTATCAGTGCATGCACCCACTCTATCAGTGCATGCACCCACTCTATCAGTGCATGCACCCACTCTATCAGTGCATGCACCCACTCTATCAGTGCATGCACCCACTCTATCAGTGCATGCACCCACTCTATCAGTGCATGCACCCACTCTATCAGTGCATGCACCCACTCTATCAGTGCATGCACCCACTCTATCAGTGCATGCACCCACTCTATCAGTGCATGCACCCACTCTATCAGTGCATGCACCCACTCTATCAGTGCATGCACCCACTCTATCAGTGCATGCACCCACTCTATCAGTGCATGCACCCACTCTATCAGTGCATGCACCCACTCTATCAGTGCATGCACCCACTCTATCAGTGCATGCACCCACTCTATCAGTGCATGCACCCACTCTATCAGTGCATGCACCCACTCTATCAGTGCATGCACCCACTCTATCAGTGCATGCACCCACTCTATCAGTGCATGCACCCACTCTATCAGTGCATGCACCCACTCTATCAGTGCATGCACCCACTCTATCAGTGCATGCACCCACTCTATCAGTGCATGCACCCACTCTATCAGTGCATGCACCCACTCTATCAGTGCATGCACCCACTCTATCAGTGCATGCACCCACTCTATCAGTGCATGCACCCACTCTATCAGTGCATGCACCCACTCTATCAGTGCATGCACCCACTCTATCAGTGCATGCACCCACTCTATCAGTGCATGCACCCACTCTATCAGTGCATGCACCCACTCTATCAGTGCATGCACCCACTCTATCAGTGCATGCACCCACTCTATCAGTGCATGCACCCACTCTATCAGTGCATGCACCCACTCTATCAGTGCATGCACCCACTCTATCAGTGCATGCACCCACTCTATCAGTGCATGCACCCACTCTATCAGTGCATGCACCCACTCTATCAGTGCATGCACCCACTCTATCAGTGCATGCACCCACTCTATCAGTGCATGCACCCACTCTATCAGTGCATGCACCCACTCTATCAGTGCATGCACCCACTCTATCAGTGCATGCACCCACTCTATCAGTGCATGCACCCACTCTATCAGTGCATGCACCCACTCTATCAGTGCATGCACCCACTCTATCAGTGCATGCACCCACTCTATCAGTGCATGCACCCACTCTATCAGTGCATGCACCCACTCTATCAGTGCATGCACCCACTCTATCAGTGCATGCACCCACTCTATCAGTGCATGCACCCACTCTATCAGTGCATGCACCCACTCTATCAGTGCATGCACCCACTCTATCAGTGCATGCACCCACTCTATCAGTGCATGCACCCACTCTATCAGTGCATGCACCCACTCTATCAGTGCATGCACCCACTCTATCAGTGCATGCACCCACTCTATCAGTGCATGCACCCACTCTATCAGTGCATGCACCCACTCTATCAGTGCATGCACCCACTCTATCAGTGCATGCACCCACTCTATCAGTGCATGCACCCACTCTATCAGTGCATGCACCCACTCTATCAGTGCATGCACCCACTCTATCAGTGCATGCACCCACTCTATCAGTGCATGCACCCACTCTATCAGTGCATGCACCCACTCTATCAGTGCATGCACCCACTCTATCAGTGCATGCACCCACTCTATCAGTGCATGCACCCACTCTATCAGTGCATGCACCCACTCTATCAGTGCATGCACCCACTCTATCAGTGCATGCACCCACTCTATCAGTGCATGCACCCACTCTATCAGTGCATGCACCCACTCTATCAGTGCATGCACCCACTCTATCAGTGCATGCACCCACTCTATCAGTGCATGCACCCACTCTATCAGTGCATGCACCCACTCTATCAGTGCATGCACCCACTCTATCAGTGCATGCACCCACTCTATCAGTGCATGCACCCACTCTATCAGTGCATGCACCCACTCTATCAGTGCATGCACCCACTCTATCAGTGCATGCACCCACTCTATCAGTGCATGCACCCACTCTATCAGTGCATGCACCCACTCTATCAGTGCATGCACCCACTCTATCAGTGCATGCACCCACTCTATCAGTGCATGCACCCACTCTATCAGTGCATGCACCCACTCTATCAGTGCATGCACCCACTCTATCAGTGCATGCACCCACTCTATCAGTGCATGCACCCACTCTATCAGTGCATGCACCCACTCTATCAGTGCATGCACCCACTCTATCAGTGCATGCACCCACTCTATCAGTGCATGCACCCACTCTATCAGTGCATGCACCCACTCTATCAGTGCATGCACCCACTCTATCAGTGCATGCACCCACTCTATCAGTGCATGCACCCACTCTATCAGTGCATGCACCCACTCTATCAGTGCATGCACCCACTCTATCAGTGCATGCACCCACTCTATCAGTGCATGCACCCACTCTATCAGTGCATGCACCCACTCTATCAGTGCATGCACCCACTCTATCAGTGCATGCACCCACTCTATCAGTGCATGCACCCACTCTATCAGTGCATGCACCCACTCTATCAGTGCATGCACCCACTCTATCAGTGCATGCACCCACTCTATCAGTGCATGCACCCACTCTATCAGTGCATGCACCCACTCTATCAGTGCATGCACCCACTCTATCAGTGCATGCACCCACTCTATCAGTGCATGCACCCACTCTATCAGTGCATGCACCCACTCTATCAGTGCATGCACCCACTCTATCAGTGCATGCACCCACTCTATCAGTGCATGCACCCACTCTATCAGTGCATGCACCCACTCTATCAGTGCATGCACCCACTCTATCAGTGCATGCACCCACTCTATCAGTGCATGCACCCACTCTATCAGTGCATGCACCCACTCTATCAGTGCATGCACCCACTCTATCAGTGCATGCACCCACTCTATCAGTGCATGCACCCACTCTATCAGTGCATGCACCCACTCTATCAGTGCATGCACCCACTCTATCAGTGCATGCACCCACTCTATCAGTGCATGCACCCACTCTATCAGTGCATGCACCCACTCTATCAGTGCATGCACCCACTCTATCAGTGCATGCACCCACTCTATCAGTGCATGCACCCACTCTATCAGTGCATGCACCCACTCTATCAGTGCATGCACCCACTCTATCAGTGCATGCACCCACTCTATCAGTGCATGCACCCACTCTATCAGTGCATGCACCCACTCTATCAGTGCATGCACCCACTCTATCAGTGCATGCACCCACTCTATCAGTGCATGCACCCACTCTATCAGTGCATGCACCCACTCTATCAGTGCATGCACCCACTCTATCAGTGCATGCACCCACTCTATCAGTGCATGCACCCACTCTATCAGTGCATGCACCCACTCTATCAGTGCATGCACCCACTCTATCAGTGCATGCACCCACTCTATCAGTGCATGCACCCACTCTATCAGTGCATGCACCCACTCTATCAGTGCATGCACCCACTCTATCAGTGCATGCACCCACTCTATCAGTGCATGCACCCACTCTATCAGTGCATGCACCCACTCTATCAGTGCATGCACCCACTCTATCAGTGCATGCACCCACTCTATCAGTGCATGCACCCACTCTATCAGTGCATGCACCCACTCTATCAGTGCATGCACCCACTCTATCAGTGCATGCACCCACTCTATCAGTGCATGCACCCACTCTATCAGTGCATGCACCCACTCTATCAGTGCATGCACCCACTCTATCAGTGCATGCACCCACTCTATCAGTGCATGCACCCACTCTATCAGTGCATGCACCCACTCTATCAGTGCATGCACCCACTCTATCAGTGCATGCACCCACTCTATCAGTGCATGCACCCACTCTATCAGTGCATGCACCCACTCTATCAGTGCATGCACCCACTCTATCAGTGCATGCACCCACTCTATCAGTGCATGCACCCACTCTATCAGTGCATGCACCCACTCTATCAGTGCATGCACCCACTCTATCAGTGCATGCACCCACTCTATCAGTGCATGCACCCACTCTATCAGTGCATGCACCCACTCTATCAGTGCATGCACCCACTCTATCAGTGCATGCACCCACTCTATCAGTGCATGCACCCACTCTATCAGTGCATGCACCCACTCTATCAGTGCATGCACCCACTCTATCAGTGCATGCACCCACTCTATCAGTGCATGCACCCACTCTATCAGTGCATGCACCCACTCTATCAGTGCATGCACCCACTCTATCAGTGCATGCACCCACTCTATCAGTGCATGCACCCACTCTATCAGTGCATGCACCCACTCTATCAGTGCATGCACCCACTCTATCAGTGCATGCACCCACTCTATCAGTGCATGCACCCACTCTATCAGTGCATGCACCCACTCTATCAGTGCATGCACCCACTCTATCAGTGCATGCACCCACTCTATCAGTGCATGCACCCACTCTATCAGTGCATGCACCCACTCTATCAGTGCATGCACCCACTCTATCAGTGCATGCACCCACTCTATCAGTGCATGCACCCACTCTATCAGTGCATGCACCCACTCTATCAGTGCATGCACCCACTCTATCAGTGCATGCACCCACTCTATCAGTGCATGCACCCACTCTATCAGTGCATGCACCCACTCTATCAGTGCATGCACCCACTCTATCAGTGCATGCACCCACTCTATCAGTGCATGCACCCACTCTATCAGTGCATGCACCCACTCTATCAGTGCATGCACCCACTCTATCAGTGCATGCACCCACTCTATCAGTGCATGCACCCACTCTATCAGTGCATGCACCCACTCTATCAGTGCATGCACCCACTCTATCAGTGCATGCACCCACTCTATCAGTGCATGCACCCACTCTATCAGTGCATGCACCCACTCTATCAGTGCATGCACCCACTCTATCAGTGCATGCACCCACTCTATCAGTGCATGCACCCACTCTATCAGTGCATGCACCCACTCTATCAGTGCATGCACCCACTCTATCAGTGCATGCACCCACTCTATCAGTGCATGCACCCACTCTATCAGTGCATGCACCCACTCTATCAGTGCATGCACCCACTCTATCAGTGCATGCACCCACTCTATCAGTGCATGCACCCACTCTATCAGTGCATGCACCCACTCTATCAGTGCATGCACCCACTCTATCAGTGCATGCACCCACTCTATCAGTGCATGCACCCACTCTATCAGTGCATGCACCCACTCTATCAGTGCATGCACCCACTCTATCAGTGCATGCACCCACTCTATCAGTGCATGCACCCACTCTATCAGTGCATGCACCCACTCTATCAGTGCATGCACCCACTCTATCAGTGCATGCACCCACTCTATCAGTGCATGCACCCACTCTATCAGTGCATGCACCCACTCTATCAGTGCATGCACCCACTCTATCAGTGCATGCACCCACTCTATCAGTGCATGCACCCACTCTATCAGTGCATGCACCCACTCTATCAGTGCATGCACCCACTCTATCAGTGCATGCACCCACTCTATCAGTGCATGCACCCACTCTATCAGTGCATGCACCCACTCTATCAGTGCATGCACCCACTCTATCAGTGCATGCACCCACTCTATCAGTGCATGCACCCACTCTATCAGTGCATGCACCCACTCTATCAGTGCATGCACCCACTCTATCAGTGCATGCACCCACTCTATCAGTGCATGCACCCACTCTATCAGTGCATGCACCCACTCTATCAGTGCATGCACCCACTCTATCAGTGCATGCACCCACTCTATCAGTGCATGCACCCACTCTATCAGTGCATGCACCCACTCTATCAGTGCATGCACCCACTCTATCAGTGCATGCACCCACTCTATCAGTGCATGCACCCACTCTATCAGTGCATGCACCCACTCTATCAGTGCATGCACCCACTCTATCAGTGCATGCACCCACTCTATCAGTGCATGCACCCACTCTATCAGTGCATGCACCCACTCTATCAGTGCATGCACCCACTCTATCAGTGCATGCACCCACTCTATCAGTGCATGCACCCACTCTATCAGTGCATGCACCCACTCTATCAGTGCATGCACCCACTCTATCAGTGCATGCACCCACTCTATCAGTGCATGCACCCACTCTATCAGTGCATGCACCCACTCTATCAGTGCATGCACCCACTCTATCAGTGCATGCACCCACTCTATCAGTGCATGCACCCACTCTATCAGTGCATGCACCCACTCTATCAGTGCATGCACCCACTCTATCAGTGCATGCACCCACTCTATCAGTGCATGCACCCACTCTATCAGTGCATGCACCCACTCTATCAGTGCATGCACCCACTCTATCAGTGCATGCACCCACTCTATCAGTGCATGCACCCACTCTATCAGTGCATGCACCCACTCTATCAGTGCATGCACCCACTCTATCAGTGCATGCACCCACTCTATCAGTGCATGCACCCACTCTATCAGTGCATGCACCCACTCTATCAGTGCATGCACCCACTCTATCAGTGCATGCACCCACTCTATCAGTGCATGCACCCACTCTATCAGTGCATGCACCCACTCTATCAGTGCATGCACCCACTCTATCAGTGCATGCACCCACTCTATCAGTGCATGCACCCACTCTATCAGTGCATGCACCCACTCTATCAGTGCATGCACCCACTCTATCAGTGCATGCACCCACTCTATCAGTGCATGCACCCACTCTATCAGTGCATGCACCCACTCTATCAGTGCATGCACCCACTCTATCAGTGCATGCACCCACTCTATCAGTGCATGCACCCACTCTATCAGTGCATGCACCCACTCTATCAGTGCATGCACCCACTCTATCAGTGCATGCACCCACTCTATCAGTGCATGCACCCACTCTATCAGTGCATGCACCCACTCTATCAGTGCATGCACCCACTCTATCAGTGCATGCACCCACTCTATCAGTGCATGCACCCACTCTATCAGTGCATGCACCCACTCTATCAGTGCATGCACCCACTCTATCAGTGCATGCACCCACTCTATCAGTGCATGCACCCACTCTATCAGTGCATGCACCCACTCTATCAGTGCATGCACCCACTCTATCAGTGCATGCACCCACTCTATCAGTGCATGCACCCACTCTATCAGTGCATGCACCCACTCTATCAGTGCATGCACCCACTCTATCAGTGCATGCACCCACTCTATCAGTGCATGCACCCACTCTATCAGTGCATGCACCCACTCTATCAGTGCATGCACCCACTCTATCAGTGCATGCACCCACTCTATCAGTGCATGCACCCACTCTATCAGTGCATGCACCCACTCTATCAGTGCATGCACCCACTCTATCAGTGCATGCACCCACTCTATCAGTGCATGCACCCACTCTATCAGTGCATGCACCCACTCTATCAGTGCATGCACCCACTCTATCAGTGCATGCACCCACTCTATCAGTGCATGCACCCACTCTATCAGTGCATGCACCCACTCTATCAGTGCATGCACCCACTCTATCAGTGCATGCACCCACTCTATCAGTGCATGCACCCACTCTATCAGTGCATGCACCCACTCTATCAGTGCATGCACCCACTCTATCAGTGCATGCACCCACTCTATCAGTGCATGCACCCACTCTATCAGTGCATGCACCCACTCTATCAGTGCATGCACCCACTCTATCAGTGCATGCACCCACTCTATCAGTGCATGCACCCACTCTATCAGTGCATGCACCCACTCTATCAGTGCATGCACCCACTCTATCAGTGCATGCACCCACTCTATCAGTGCATGCACCCACTCTATCAGTGCATGCACCCACTCTATCAGTGCATGCACCCACTCTATCAGTGCATGCACCCACTCTATCAGTGCATGCACCCACTCTATCAGTGCATGCACCCACTCTATCAGTGCATGCACCCACTCTATCAGTGCATGCACCCACTCTATCAGTGCATGCACCCACTCTATCAGTGCATGCACCCACTCTATCAGTGCATGCACCCACTCTATCAGTGCATGCACCCACTCTATCAGTGCATGCACCCACTCTATCAGTGCATGCACCCACTCTATCAGTGCATGCACCCACTCTATCAGTGCATGCACCCACTCTATCAGTGCATGCACCCACTCTATCAGTGCATGCACCCACTCTATCAGTGCATGCACCCACTCTATCAGTGCATGCACCCACTCTATCAGTGCATGCACCCACTCTATCAGTGCATGCACCCACTCTATCAGTGCATGCACCCACTCTATCAGTGCATGCACCCACTCTATCAGTGCATGCACCCACTCTATCAGTGCATGCACCCACTCTATCAGTGCATGCACCCACTCTATCAGTGCATGCACCCACTCTATCAGTGCATGCACCCACTCTATCAGTGCATGCACCCACTCTATCAGTGCATGCACCCACTCTATCAGTGCATGCACCCACTCTATCAGTGCATGCACCCACTCTATCAGTGCATGCACCCACTCTATCAGTGCATGCACCCACTCTATCAGTGCATGCACCCACTCTATCAGTGCATGCACCCACTCTATCAGTGCATGCACCCACTCTATCAGTGCATGCACCCACTCTATCAGTGCATGCACCCACTCTATCAGTGCATGCACCCACTCTATCAGTGCATGCACCCACTCTATCAGTGCATGCACCCACTCTATCAGTGCATGCACCCACTCTATCAGTGCATGCACCCACTCTATCAGTGCATGCACCCACTCTATCAGTGCATGCACCCACTCTATCAGTGCATGCACCCACTCTATCAGTGCATGCACCCACTCTATCAGTGCATGCACCCACTCTATCAGTGCATGCACCCACTCTATCAGTGCATGCACCCACTCTATCAGTGCATGCACCCACTCTATCAGTGCATGCACCCACTCTATCAGTGCATGCACCCACTCTATCAGTGCATGCACCCACTCTATCAGTGCATGCACCCACTCTATCAGTGCATGCACCCACTCTATCAGTGCATGCACCCACTCTATCAGTGCATGCACCCACTCTATCAGTGCATGCACCCACTCTATCAGTGCATGCACCCACTCTATCAGTGCATGCACCCACTCTATCAGTGCATGCACCCACTCTATCAGTGCATGCACCCACTCTATCAGTGCATGCACCCACTCTATCAGTGCATGCACCCACTCTATCAGTGCATGCACCCACTCTATCAGTGCATGCACCCACTCTATCAGTGCATGCACCCACTCTATCAGTGCATGCACCCACTCTATCAGTGCATGCACCCACTCTATCAGTGCATGCACCCACTCTATCAGTGCATGCACCCACTCTATCAGTGCATGCACCCACTCTATCAGTGCATGCACCCACTCTATCAGTGCATGCACCCACTCTATCAGTGCATGCACCCACTCTATCAGTGCATGCACCCACTCTATCAGTGCATGCACCCACTCTATCAGTGCATGCACCCACTCTATCAGTGCATGCACCCACTCTATCAGTGCATGCACCCACTCTATCAGTGCATGCACCCACTCTATCAGTGCATGCACCCACTCTATCAGTGCATGCACCCACTCTATCAGTGCATGCACCCACTCTATCAGTGCATGCACCCACTCTATCAGTGCATGCACCCACTCTATCAGTGCATGCACCCACTCTATCAGTGCATGCACCCACTCTATCAGTGCATGCACCCACTCTATCAGTGCATGCACCCACTCTATCAGTGCATGCACCCACTCTATCAGTGCATGCACCCACTCTATCAGTGCATGCACCCACTCTATCAGTGCATGCACCCACTCTATCAGTGCATGCACCCACTCTATCAGTGCATGCACCCACTCTATCAGTGCATGCACCCACTCTATCAGTGCATGCACCCACTCTATCAGTGCATGCACCCACTCTATCAGTGCATGCACCCACTCTATCAGTGCATGCACCCACTCTATCAGTGCATGCACCCACTCTATCAGTGCATGCACCCACTCTATCAGTGCATGCACCCACTCTATCAGTGCATGCACCCACTCTATCAGTGCATGCACCCACTCTATCAGTGCATGCACCCACTCTATCAGTGCATGCACCCACTCTATCAGTGCATGCACCCACTCTATCAGTGCATGCACCCACTCTATCAGTGCATGCACCCACTCTATCAGTGCATGCACCCACTCTATCAGTGCATGCACCCACTCTATCAGTGCATGCACCCACTCTATCAGTGCATGCACCCACTCTATCAGTGCATGCACCCACTCTATCAGTGCATGCACCCACTCTATCAGTGCATGCACCCACTCTATCAGTGCATGCACCCACTCTATCAGTGCATGCACCCACTCTATCAGTGCATGCACCCACTCTATCAGTGCATGCACCCACTCTATCAGTGCATGCACCCACTCTATCAGTGCATGCACCCACTCTATCAGTGCATGCACCCACTCTATCAGTGCATGCACCCACTCTATCAGTGCATGCACCCACTCTATCAGTGCATGCACCCACTCTATCAGTGCATGCACCCACTCTATCAGTGCATGCACCCACTCTATCAGTGCATGCACCCACTCTATCAGTGCATGCACCCACTCTATCAGTGCATGCACCCACTCTATCAGTGCATGCACCCACTCTATCAGTGCATGCACCCACTCTATCAGTGCATGCACCCACTCTATCAGTGCATGCACCCACTCTATCAGTGCATGCACCCACTCTATCAGTGCATGCACCCACTCTATCAGTGCATGCACCCACTCTATCAGTGCATGCACCCACTCTATCAGTGCATGCACCCACTCTATCAGTGCATGCACCCACTCTATCAGTGCATGCACCCACTCTATCAGTGCATGCACCCACTCTATCAGTGCATGCACCCACTCTATCAGTGCATGCACCCACTCTATCAGTGCATGCACCCACTCTATCAGTGCATGCACCCACTCTATCAGTGCATGCACCCACTCTATCAGTGCATGCACCCACTCTATCAGTGCATGCACCCACTCTATCAGTGCATGCACCCACTCTATCAGTGCATGCACCCACTCTATCAGTGCATGCACCCACTCTATCAGTGCATGCACCCACTCTATCAGTGCATGCACCCACTCTATCAGTGCATGCACCCACTCTATCAGTGCATGCACCCACTCTATCAGTGCATGCACCCACTCTATCAGTGCATGCACCCACTCTATCAGTGCATGCACCCACTCTATCAGTGCATGCACCCACTCTATCAGTGCATGCACCCACTCTATCAGTGCATGCACCCACTCTATCAGTGCATGCACCCACTCTATCAGTGCATGCACCCACTCTATCAGTGCATGCACCCACTCTATCAGTGCATGCACCCACTCTATCAGTGCATGCACCCACTCTATCAGTGCATGCACCCACTCTATCAGTGCATGCACCCACTCTATCAGTGCATGCACCCACTCTATCAGTGCATGCACCCACTCTATCAGTGCATGCACCCACTCTATCAGTGCATGCACCCACTCTATCAGTGCATGCACCCACTCTATCAGTGCATGCACCCACTCTATCAGTGCATGCACCCACTCTATCAGTGCATGCACCCACTCTATCAGTGCATGCACCCACTCTATCAGTGCATGCACCCACTCTATCAGTGCATGCACCCACTCTATCAGTGCATGCACCCACTCTATCAGTGCATGCACCCACTCTATCAGTGCATGCACCCACTCTATCAGTGCATGCACCCACTCTATCAGTGCATGCACCCACTCTATCAGTGCATGCACCCACTCTATCAGTGCATGCACCCACTCTATCAGTGCATGCACCCACTCTATCAGTGCATGCACCCACTCTATCAGTGCATGCACCCACTCTATCAGTGCATGCACCCACTCTATCAGTGCATGCACCCACTCTATCAGTGCATGCACCCACTCTATCAGTGCATGCACCCACTCTATCAGTGCATGCACCCACTCTATCAGTGCATGCACCCACTCTATCAGTGCATGCACCCACTCTATCAGTGCATGCACCCACTCTATCAGTGCATGCACCCACTCTATCAGTGCATGCACCCACTCTATCAGTGCATGCACCCACTCTATCAGTGCATGCACCCACTCTATCAGTGCATGCACCCACTCTATCAGTGCATGCACCCACTCTATCAGTGCATGCACCCACTCTATCAGTGCATGCACCCACTCTATCAGTGCATGCACCCACTCTATCAGTGCATGCACCCACTCTATCAGTGCATGCACCCACTCTATCAGTGCATGCACCCACTCTATCAGTGCATGCACCCACTCTATCAGTGCATGCACCCACTCTATCAGTGCATGCACCCACTCTATCAGTGCATGCACCCACTCTATCAGTGCATGCACCCACTCTATCAGTGCATGCACCCACTCTATCAGTGCATGCACCCACTCTATCAGTGCATGCACCCACTCTATCAGTGCATGCACCCACTCTATCAGTGCATGCACCCACTCTATCAGTGCATGCACCCACTCTATCAGTGCATGCACCCACTCTATCAGTGCATGCACCCACTCTATCAGTGCATGCACCCACTCTATCAGTGCATGCACCCACTCTATCAGTGCATGCACCCACTCTATCAGTGCATGCACCCACTCTATCAGTGCATGCACCCACTCTATCAGTGCATGCACCCACTCTATCAGTGCATGCACCCACTCTATCAGTGCATGCACCCACTCTATCAGTGCATGCACCCACTCTATCAGTGCATGCACCCACTCTATCAGTGCATGCACCCACTCTATCAGTGCATGCACCCACTCTATCAGTGCATGCACCCACTCTATCAGTGCATGCACCCACTCTATCAGTGCATGCACCCACTCTATCAGTGCATGCACCCACTCTATCAGTGCATGCACCCACTCTATCAGTGCATGCACCCACTCTATCAGTGCATGCACCCACTCTATCAGTGCATGCACCCACTCTATCAGTGCATGCACCCACTCTATCAGTGCATGCACCCACTCTATCAGTGCATGCACCCACTCTATCAGTGCATGCACCCACTCTATCAGTGCATGCACCCACTCTATCAGTGCATGCACCCACTCTATCAGTGCATGCACCCACTCTATCAGTGCATGCACCCACTCTATCAGTGCATGCACCCACTCTATCAGTGCATGCACCCACTCTATCAGTGCATGCACCCACTCTATCAGTGCATGCACCCACTCTATCAGTGCATGCACCCACTCTATCAGTGCATGCACCCACTCTATCAGTGCATGCACCCACTCTATCAGTGCATGCACCCACTCTATCAGTGCATGCACCCACTCTATCAGTGCATGCACCCACTCTATCAGTGCATGCACCCACTCTATCAGTGCATGCACCCACTCTATCAGTGCATGCACCCACTCTATCAGTGCATGCACCCACTCTATCAGTGCATGCACCCACTCTATCAGTGCATGCACCCACTCTATCAGTGCATGCACCCACTCTATCAGTGCATGCACCCACTCTATCAGTGCATGCACCCACTCTATCAGTGCATGCACCCACTCTATCAGTGCATGCACCCACTCTATCAGTGCATGCACCCACTCTATCAGTGCATGCACCCACTCTATCAGTGCATGCACCCACTCTATCAGTGCATGCACCCACTCTATCAGTGCATGCACCCACTCTATCAGTGCATGCACCCACTCTATCAGTGCATGCACCCACTCTATCAGTGCATGCACCCACTCTATCAGTGCATGCACCCACTCTATCAGTGCATGCACCCACTCTATCAGTGCATGCACCCACTCTATCAGTGCATGCACCCACTCTATCAGTGCATGCACCCACTCTATCAGTGCATGCACCCACTCTATCAGTGCATGCACCCACTCTATCAGTGCATGCACCCACTCTATCAGTGCATGCACCCACTCTATCAGTGCATGCACCCACTCTATCAGTGCATGCACCCACTCTATCAGTGCATGCACCCACTCTATCAGTGCATGCACCCACTCTATCAGTGCATGCACCCACTCTATCAGTGCATGCACCCACTCTATCAGTGCATGCACCCACTCTATCAGTGCATGCACCCACTCTATCAGTGCATGCACCCACTCTATCAGTGCATGCACCCACTCTATCAGTGCATGCACCCACTCTATCAGTGCATGCACCCACTCTATCAGTGCATGCACCCACTCTATCAGTGCATGCACCCACTCTATCAGTGCATGCACCCACTCTATCAGTGCATGCACCCACTCTATCAGTGCATGCACCCACTCTATCAGTGCATGCACCCACTCTATCAGTGCATGCACCCACTCTATCAGTGCATGCACCCACTCTATCAGTGCATGCACCCACTCTATCAGTGCATGCACCCACTCTATCAGTGCATGCACCCACTCTATCAGTGCATGCACCCACTCTATCAGTGCATGCACCCACTCTATCAGTGCATGCACCCACTCTATCAGTGCATGCACCCACTCTATCAGTGCATGCACCCACTCTATCAGTGCATGCACCCACTCTATCAGTGCATGCACCCACTCTATCAGTGCATGCACCCACTCTATCAGTGCATGCACCCACTCTATCAGTGCATGCACCCACTCTATCAGTGCATGCACCCACTCTATCAGTGCATGCACCCACTCTATCAGTGCATGCACCCACTCTATCAGTGCATGCACCCACTCTATCAGTGCATGCACCCACTCTATCAGTGCATGCACCCACTCTATCAGTGCATGCACCCACTCTATCAGTGCATGCACCCACTCTATCAGTGCATGCACCCACTCTATCAGTGCATGCACCCACTCTATCAGTGCATGCACCCACTCTATCAGTGCATGCACCCACTCTATCAGTGCATGCACCCACTCTATCAGTGCATGCACCCACTCTATCAGTGCATGCACCCACTCTATCAGTGCATGCACCCACTCTATCAGTGCATGCACCCACTCTATCAGTGCATGCACCCACTCTATCAGTGCATGCACCCACTCTATCAGTGCATGCACCCACTCTATCAGTGCATGCACCCACTCTATCAGTGCATGCACCCACTCTATCAGTGCATGCACCCACTCTATCAGTGCATGCACCCACTCTATCAGTGCATGCACCCACTCTATCAGTGCATGCACCCACTCTATCAGTGCATGCACCCACTCTATCAGTGCATGCACCCACTCTATCAGTGCATGCACCCACTCTATCAGTGCATGCACCCACTCTATCAGTGCATGCACCCACTCTATCAGTGCATGCACCCACTCTATCAGTGCATGCACCCACTCTATCAGTGCATGCACCCACTCTATCAGTGCATGCACCCACTCTATCAGTGCATGCACCCACTCTATCAGTGCATGCACCCACTCTATCAGTGCATGCACCCACTCTATCAGTGCATGCACCCACTCTATCAGTGCATGCACCCACTCTATCAGTGCATGCACCCACTCTATCAGTGCATGCACCCACTCTATCAGTGCATGCACCCACTCTATCAGTGCATGCACCCACTCTATCAGTGCATGCACCCACTCTATCAGTGCATGCACCCACTCTATCAGTGCATGCACCCACTCTATCAGTGCATGCACCCACTCTATCAGTGCATGCACCCACTCTATCAGTGCATGCACCCACTCTATCAGTGCATGCACCCACTCTATCAGTGCATGCACCCACTCTATCAGTGCATGCACCCACTCTATCAGTGCATGCACCCACTCTATCAGTGCATGCACCCACTCTATCAGTGCATGCACCCACTCTATCAGTGCATGCACCCACTCTATCAGTGCATGCACCCACTCTATCAGTGCATGCACCCACTCTATCAGTGCATGCACCCACTCTATCAGTGCATGCACCCACTCTATCAGTGCATGCACCCACTCTATCAGTGCATGCACCCACTCTATCAGTGCATGCACCCACTCTATCAGTGCATGCACCCACTCTATCAGTGCATGCACCCACTCTATCAGTGCATGCACCCACTCTATCAGTGCATGCACCCACTCTATCAGTGCATGCACCCACTCTATCAGTGCATGCACCCACTCTATCAGTGCATGCACCCACTCTATCAGTGCATGCACCCACTCTATCAGTGCATGCACCCACTCTATCAGTGCATGCACCCACTCTATCAGTGCATGCACCCACTCTATCAGTGCATGCACCCACTCTATCAGTGCATGCACCCACTCTATCAGTGCATGCACCCACTCTATCAGTGCATGCACCCACTCTATCAGTGCATGCACCCACTCTATCAGTGCATGCACCCACTCTATCAGTGCATGCACCCACTCTATCAGTGCATGCACCCACTCTATCAGTGCATGCACCCACTCTATCAGTGCATGCACCCACTCTATCAGTGCATGCACCCACTCTATCAGTGCATGCACCCACTCTATCAGTGCATGCACCCACTCTATCAGTGCATGCACCCACTCTATCAGTGCATGCACCCACTCTATCAGTGCATGCACCCACTCTATCAGTGCATGCACCCACTCTATCAGTGCATGCACCCACTCTATCAGTGCATGCACCCACTCTATCAGTGCATGCACCCACTCTATCAGTGCATGCACCCACTCTATCAGTGCATGCACCCACTCTATCAGTGCATGCACCCACTCTATCAGTGCATGCACCCACTCTATCAGTGCATGCACCCACTCTATCAGTGCATGCACCCACTCTATCAGTGCATGCACCCACTCTATCAGTGCATGCACCCACTCTATCAGTGCATGCACCCACTCTATCAGTGCATGCACCCACTCTATCAGTGCATGCACCCACTCTATCAGTGCATGCACCCACTCTATCAGTGCATGCACCCACTCTATCAGTGCATGCACCCACTCTATCAGTGCATGCACCCACTCTATCAGTGCATGCACCCACTCTATCAGTGCATGCACCCACTCTATCAGTGCATGCACCCACTCTATCAGTGCATGCACCCACTCTATCAGTGCATGCACCCACTCTATCAGTGCATGCACCCACTCTATCAGTGCATGCACCCACTCTATCAGTGCATGCACCCACTCTATCAGTGCATGCACCCACTCTATCAGTGCATGCACCCACTCTATCAGTGCATGCACCCACTCTATCAGTGCATGCACCCACTCTATCAGTGCATGCACCCACTCTATCAGTGCATGCACCCACTCTATCAGTGCATGCACCCACTCTATCAGTGCATGCACCCACTCTATCAGTGCATGCACCCACTCTATCAGTGCATGCACCCACTCTATCAGTGCATGCACCCACTCTATCAGTGCATGCACCCACTCTATCAGTGCATGCACCCACTCTATCAGTGCATGCACCCACTCTATCAGTGCATGCACCCACTCTATCAGTGCATGCACCCACTCTATCAGTGCATGCACCCACTCTATCAGTGCATGCACCCACTCTATCAGTGCATGCACCCACTCTATCAGTGCATGCACCCACTCTATCAGTGCATGCACCCACTCTATCAGTGCATGCACCCACTCTATCAGTGCATGCACCCACTCTATCAGTGCATGCACCCACTCTATCAGTGCATGCACCCACTCTATCAGTGCATGCACCCACTCTATCAGTGCATGCACCCACTCTATCAGTGCATGCACCCACTCTATCAGTGCATGCACCCACTCTATCAGTGCATGCACCCACTCTATCAGTGCATGCACCCACTCTATCAGTGCATGCACCCACTCTATCAGTGCATGCACCCACTCTATCAGTGCATGCACCCACTCTATCAGTGCATGCACCCACTCTATCAGTGCATGCACCCACTCTATCAGTGCATGCACCCACTCTATCAGTGCATGCACCCACTCTATCAGTGCATGCACCCACTCTATCAGTGCATGCACCCACTCTATCAGTGCATGCACCCACTCTATCAGTGCATGCACCCACTCTATCAGTGCATGCACCCACTCTATCAGTGCATGCACCCACTCTATCAGTGCATGCACCCACTCTATCAGTGCATGCACCCACTCTATCAGTGCATGCACCCACTCTATCAGTGCATGCACCCACTCTATCAGTGCATGCACCCACTCTATCAGTGCATGCACCCACTCTATCAGTGCATGCACCCACTCTATCAGTGCATGCACCCACTCTATCAGTGCATGCACCCACTCTATCAGTGCATGCACCCACTCTATCAGTGCATGCACCCACTCTATCAGTGCATGCACCCACTCTATCAGTGCATGCACCCACTCTATCAGTGCATGCACCCACTCTATCAGTGCATGCACCCACTCTATCAGTGCATGCACCCACTCTATCAGTGCATGCACCCACTCTATCAGTGCATGCACCCACTCTATCAGTGCATGCACCCACTCTATCAGTGCATGCACCCACTCTATCAGTGCATGCACCCACTCTATCAGTGCATGCACCCACTCTATCAGTGCATGCACCCACTCTATCAGTGCATGCACCCACTCTATCAGTGCATGCACCCACTCTATCAGTGCATGCACCCACTCTATCAGTGCATGCACCCACTCTATCAGTGCATGCACCCACTCTATCAGTGCATGCACCCACTCTATCAGTGCATGCACCCACTCTATCAGTGCATGCACCCACTCTATCAGTGCATGCACCCACTCTATCAGTGCATGCACCCACTCTATCAGTGCATGCACCCACTCTATCAGTGCATGCACCCACTCTATCAGTGCATGCACCCACTCTATCAGTGCATGCACCCACTCTATCAGTGCATGCACCCACTCTATCAGTGCATGCACCCACTCTATCAGTGCATGCACCCACTCTATCAGTGCATGCACCCACTCTATCAGTGCATGCACCCACTCTATCAGTGCATGCACCCACTCTATCAGTGCATGCACCCACTCTATCAGTGCATGCACCCACTCTATCAGTGCATGCACCCACTCTATCAGTGCATGCACCCACTCTATCAGTGCATGCACCCACTCTATCAGTGCATGCACCCACTCTATCAGTGCATGCACCCACTCTATCAGTGCATGCACCCACTCTATCAGTGCATGCACCCACTCTATCAGTGCATGCACCCACTCTATCAGTGCATGCACCCACTCTATCAGTGCATGCACCCACTCTATCAGTGCATGCACCCACTCTATCAGTGCATGCACCCACTCTATCAGTGCATGCACCCACTCTATCAGTGCATGCACCCACTCTATCAGTGCATGCACCCACTCTATCAGTGCATGCACCCACTCTATCAGTGCATGCACCCACTCTATCAGTGCATGCACCCACTCTATCAGTGCATGCACCCACTCTATCAGTGCATGCACCCACTCTATCAGTGCATGCACCCACTCTATCAGTGCATGCACCCACTCTATCAGTGCATGCACCCACTCTATCAGTGCATGCACCCACTCTATCAGTGCATGCACCCACTCTATCAGTGCATGCACCCACTCTATCAGTGCATGCACCCACTCTATCAGTGCATGCACCCACTCTATCAGTGCATGCACCCACTCTATCAGTGCATGCACCCACTCTATCAGTGCATGCACCCACTCTATCAGTGCATGCACCCACTCTATCAGTGCATGCACCCACTCTATCAGTGCATGCACCCACTCTATCAGTGCATGCACCCACTCTATCAGTGCATGCACCCACTCTATCAGTGCATGCACCCACTCTATCAGTGCATGCACCCACTCTATCAGTGCATGCACCCACTCTATCAGTGCATGCACCCACTCTATCAGTGCATGCACCCACTCTATCAGTGCATGCACCCACTCTATCAGTGCATGCACCCACTCTATCAGTGCATGCACCCACTCTATCAGTGCATGCACCCACTCTATCAGTGCATGCACCCACTCTATCAGTGCATGCACCCACTCTATCAGTGCATGCACCCACTCTATCAGTGCATGCACCCACTCTATCAGTGCATGCACCCACTCTATCAGTGCATGCACCCACTCTATCAGTGCATGCACCCACTCTATCAGTGCATGCACCCACTCTATCAGTGCATGCACCCACTCTATCAGTGCATGCACCCACTCTATCAGTGCATGCACCCACTCTATCAGTGCATGCACCCACTCTATCAGTGCATGCACCCACTCTATCAGTGCATGCACCCACTCTATCAGTGCATGCACCCACTCTATCAGTGCATGCACCCACTCTATCAGTGCATGCACCCACTCTATCAGTGCATGCACCCACTCTATCAGTGCATGCACCCACTCTATCAGTGCATGCACCCACTCTATCAGTGCATGCACCCACTCTATCAGTGCATGCACCCACTCTATCAGTGCATGCACCCACTCTATCAGTGCATGCACCCACTCTATCAGTGCATGCACCCACTCTATCAGTGCATGCACCCACTCTATCAGTGCATGCACCCACTCTATCAGTGCATGCACCCACTCTATCAGTGCATGCACCCACTCTATCAGTGCATGCACCCACTCTATCAGTGCATGCACCCACTCTATCAGTGCATGCACCCACTCTATCAGTGCATGCACCCACTCTATCAGTGCATGCACCCACTCTATCAGTGCATGCACCCACTCTATCAGTGCATGCACCCACTCTATCAGTGCATGCACCCACTCTATCAGTGCATGCACCCACTCTATCAGTGCATGCACCCACTCTATCAGTGCATGCACCCACTCTATCAGTGCATGCACCCACTCTATCAGTGCATGCACCCACTCTATCAGTGCATGCACCCACTCTATCAGTGCATGCACCCACTCTATCAGTGCATGCACCCACTCTATCAGTGCATGCACCCACTCTATCAGTGCATGCACCCACTCTATCAGTGCATGCACCCACTCTATCAGTGCATGCACCCACTCTATCAGTGCATGCACCCACTCTATCAGTGCATGCACCCACTCTATCAGTGCATGCACCCACTCTATCAGTGCATGCACCCACTCTATCAGTGCATGCACCCACTCTATCAGTGCATGCACCCACTCTATCAGTGCATGCACCCACTCTATCAGTGCATGCACCCACTCTATCAGTGCATGCACCCACTCTATCAGTGCATGCACCCACTCTATCAGTGCATGCACCCACTCTATCAGTGCATGCACCCACTCTATCAGTGCATGCACCCACTCTATCAGTGCATGCACCCACTCTATCAGTGCATGCACCCACTCTATCAGTGCATGCACCCACTCTATCAGTGCATGCACCCACTCTATCAGTGCATGCACCCACTCTATCACTGCATGCACCCACTCTATCAGTGCATGCACCCACTCTATCAGTGCATGCACCCACTCTATCAGTGCATGCACCCACTCTATCAGTGCATGCACCCACTCTATCAGTGCATGCACCCACTCTATCAGTGCATGCACCCACTCTATCAGTGCATGCACCCACTCTATCAGTGCATGCACCCACTCTATCAGTGCATGCACCCACTCTATCAGTGCATGCACCCACTCTATCAGTGCATGCACCCACTCTATCAGTGCATGCACCCACTCTATCAGTGCATGCACCCACTCTATCAGTGCATGCACCCACTCTATCAGTGCATGCACCCACTCTATCAGTGCATGCACCCACTCTATCAGTGCATGCACCCACTCTATCAGTGCATGCACCCACTCTATCAGTGCATGCACCCACTCTATCAGTGCATGCACCCACTCTATCAGTGCATGCACCCACTCTATCAGTGCATGCACCCACTCTATCAGTGCATGCACCCACTCTATCACTGCATGCACCCACTCTATCACTGCATGCACCCACTCTATCACTGCATGCACCCACTCTATCACTGCATGCACCCACTCTATCAGTGCATGCACCCACTCTATCACTGCATGCACCCACTCTATCACTGCATGCACCCACTCTATCAGTGCATGCACCCACTCTATCAGTGCATGCACCCACTCTATCACTGCATGCACCCACTCTATCAGTGCATGCACCCACTCTATCAGTGCATGCACCCACTCTATCACTGCATGCACCCACTCTATCAGTGCATGCACCCACTCTATCAGTGCATGCACCCACTCTATCAGTGCATGCACCCACTCTATCAGTGCATGCACCCACTCTATCAGTGCATGCACCCACTCTATCACTGCATGCACCCACTCTATCAGTGCATGCACCCACTCTATCAGTGCATGCACCCACTCTATCACTGCATGCACCCACTCTATCAGTGCATGCACCCACTCTATCAGTGCATGCACCCACTCTATCAGTGCATGCACCCACTCTATCAGTGCATGCACCCACTCTATCAGTGCATGCACCCACTCTATCAGTGCATGCACCCACTCTATCACTGCATGCACCCACTCTATCAGTGCATGCACCCACTCTATCACTGCATGCACCCACTCTATCAGTGCATGCACCCACTCTATCAGTGCATGCACCCACTCTATCACTGCATGCACCCACTCTATCACGTGCATGCACCCACTCTATCAGATGCATTCAGGCACCCACCTCTATCAGCTGCATGCACTCCACTCTATCACGTGCATGCACCCACTCTATCAGCTGCATGCACCCACTCTATCAGTGCATGCACCCACTCTATCAGTGCATGCACCCACTCTATCAGTGCATGCCACCCACTCTATCAGTGCATTCACCCCACTCTATCACTGCATGCACCCACTCTATCACTGCATGCACCCACTCTATCAGCTGCATGCACCCACTCTATCAGTGCATGCACCCACTCTATCAGTGCATGCACCCACTCTATCAGTGCATGCACCCACTCTATCAGTGCATGCACCCACTCTATCACTGCATGCACCCACACTATCACTGCATGCACCCACACTATCAGTGCATGCACCCACTCTATCACTGCATGCACCCACTCTATCAGTGCATGCACCCACTCTATCAGTGCATGCACCCACTCTACCAGTGCATGCACCCACTCTATCAGTGCATGCACCCACTCTATCAGTGGCATGCACCACTTTATCATGCATGCACCCACTCTATCAGTGCATGCACCCACTCTATCAGTGCATGCACCCACTCTATCAGTGCATGCACCCACTCTATCAGTGCATGCACCCACTCTATCAGTGCATGCACCCACTCTATCCAGTGCATGCACCCACTCTATCAGTGCATGCACCCACTCTATCAGTGCATGCACCCACTCTATCAGTGCATGCACCCACTCTATCAGTGCATGCACCCACTCTATCACTGCATGCACCCACTCTATCACTGCATGCACCCACTCTATCAGTGCATGCACCCACTCTATCAGTGCATGCACCCACTCTATCAGTGCATGCACCCACTCTATCAGTGCATGCACCCACTCTATCACTGCATGCACCCACTCTATCACTGCATGCACCCACTCTATCACTGCATGCACCCACTCTATCAGTGCATGCACCCACTCTATCAGTGCATGCACCCACTCTATCAGTGCATGCACCCACTCTATCAGTGCATGCACCCACTCTATCAGTGCATGCACCCACTCTATCACTGCATGCACCCACTCTATCACTGCATGCACCCACTCTATCAGTGCATGCACCCACTCTATCACTGCATGCACCCACTCTATCACTGCATGCACCCACTCTATCAGTGCATGCACCCACTCTATCACTGCATGCACCCACTCTATCAACTGCATGCACCCACTCTATCACTGCATGCACCCACTCTATCAGTGCATGCACCCACTCTATCAGTGCATGCACCCACTCTAATCAGTGCATGCACCCACTCTATCAGTGCATGCACCCACTCTATCAGTGCATGCACCCACTCTATCACTGCATGCACCCACTCTATCAGTGCAATGCACCCACTCTATCAGTGCATGCACCCACTCTATCAGTGCATGCACCCACTCTATCAGTGCATGCCACCCACTCTATCACGTGCATGCACCCACTCATCAGTGCATGCACCTTCACCTCTATCAGGTGCATGCACCACTCTATCAGTGCATGCACCCACTCTATCACTGCATGCACCCACTCTATCAGTGCATGCACCCACTCTATCAGTGCATGCACCCACTCTATCACTGCATGCACCCACTCTATCAGTGCATGCACCCACTCTATCAGTGCATGCACCCACTCTATCAGTGCATGCACCCACTCTACCAGTGCATGCACCCACTCTATCAGTGCATGCACCCACTCTATCAGTGCATGCACCCACTCTATCAGTGCATGCACCCACTCTATCAGTGCATGCACCCACTCTATCAGTGCATGCACCCACTCTATCAGTGCCATGCACCCACTCTATCAGTGCATGCACCCACTCTATCAGTGCATGCACCCACTCTATCAGTGCATGCACCCACTCTATCAGTGCATGCACCCACTCTATCACTGCATGCACCCACTCTATCAGTGCATGCATCACTCTATCACTGCATGCACCCACTCTATCAGTGCATGCACCCACTCTATCAGTGCATGCACCCACTCTATCAGTGCATGCACCCACTCTATCAGCTGCATGCACCCACTCTATCACTGCATGCACCCACTCTATCAGTGCATGCACCCACTCTATCAGTGCATGCACCCACTCTATCACTGCATGCACCCACTCTTTTAGTGCATGCACCCACTCTATCACTGCATGCACCCACTCTATCAGTGCATGCACCCACTCTATCACTGCATGCACCCACTCTATCAGTGCATGCACCCACTCTATCAGTGCATGCACCCACTCTATCAGTGCATGCACCCACTCTATCACTGCATGCACCCACTCTATCACTGCATGCACCCACTCTATCACTGCATGCACCCACTCTATCAGTGCATGCACCCACTCTATCAGTGCATGCCCTCTATCAGTGCATGCACCCACTCTATCAGTGCATGCACCCACTCTATCAGTGCATGCACCCACTCTATCAGTGCATGCACCCACTCTATCAGTGCATGCACCCACTCTATCAGTGCATGCACCCACTCTATCACTGCATGCACCCACTCTATCAGTGCATGCACCCACTCTATCAGTGCATGCACCCACTCTATCAGTGCATGCACCCACTCTATCACTGCATGCACCCACTCTATCAGTGCATGCACCCACTCTATCAGTGCATGCACCCACTCTATCAGTGCATGCACCCACTCTATCACTGCATGCACCCACTCTATCAGTGCATGGCACCACTCTATCAGTGCATGCACCCACTCTATCAGTGCATGCACCCACTCTATCAGTGCATGCACCCACTCTATCACTGCATGCACCCACTCTATTCAGTGCATGCACCCACTCTATCAGTGCATGCACCCACTCTATCAGTGCATGCACCCACTCTATCAGTGCATGCACCCACTCTATCAGTGCATGCACCCACTCTATCAGTGCATGCACCCCACTCTATCAGTGCATGCACCCACTCTATCACTGCATGCACCCACTCTATCACTGCATGCACCCACTCTACTCAGTGCATGCACCCACTCTATCAGTGCATGCACCCACTCTATCAGTGCATGCACCCACTCTATCAGTGCATGCACCCACTCTATCAGTGCATGCACCCACTCTATCAGTGCATGCACCCACTCTATCAGTGCATGCACCCACTCTATCAGTGCATGCCACCCACTCTATCAGTGCATGCACCCACTCTATCAGTGCATGCACCCACTCTATCAGTGCATGCACCCACTCTATCAGTGCATGCACCCACTCTATCAGTGCATGCACCCCACTCTATCAGTGCATGCACCCACTCATCATGCATGCACCCACTCTATCACTGCATGCACCCACTCTATCAGTGCATGCACCCACTCTATCAGTGCATTGCACCCACTCTACCAGTGCATGCACCCACTCTATCAGGCATGCACCCACTCTATCAGTGCATGCACCACTCTATAACTGCATGCACCCACTCTATCACTGCATGCACCCACTCTATCACTGCATGCACCCACTCTATCAGTGCATGCACCCACTCTATCAGTGCATGCACCCACTCTATCAGTGCATGCACCCACTCTGTCAGTGCATGCACCCACTCTATCACTGCATGCACCCACTCTAATCACTGCATTGCCACCCACTCTATCACTGCATGCACCCACTCTATCAGTGCATGCACCCACTCTATCATGCATGCACCCACTCTATCAGTGCATGCACCCACTCTATCAGTGAATGCACCCACTCTATCAGTGCATGCACCCACTCTATCAGTGCATGCACCCACTCTATCACTGCATGCACCCACTCTATCAGTGCATGCACCCCCTCTATCAGTGCATGCACCCACTCTATCAGTGCATGCACCCACTCTATCAGTGCATGCACCCACTCTATCAGTGCATGCACCCACTCTATCAGTGCATGCACCCACTCTATCACTGTGCATGCACCACTCTATCAGTGCATGCACCCACTCTATCAGTGCATGCACCCACTCTATCAGTGCATGCACCCACTCTATCACGTGCATGCACCCACTCTATCAGTGCATGCACCCACTCTATCAGTGCATGCACCCACTCTATCACTGCATGCACCCCACTCTATCAGTGCATGCACCCACTCTATCAGTGCATGCACCCACTCTATCAGTGCATGCACCCACTCTATCAGTGCATGCACCCACTCTATCAGTGCATGCACCCCACTCTATTCAGTGCATGCACCCACTCTATCAGTGCATGCACCCACTCTATCAGCTGCATGCACCCACTCTATCAGTGCATGCACCCACTCTATCAGTGCATGCACCCTCTCTACCAGTGCATGCACCCACTCTATCAGTGCATGCACCCACCTCTATCAGTGCATGCACCCACTCTATCAGCTGCATGCACCCACTCTATCACTGCATGCACCCACTCTATCAGCTGCATGCACCCACTCTATCAGTGCATGCACCCACTCTATCAGTGCATGCACCCACTCTATCAGTGCATGCATGCACCCACTCTATCAGTGCATGCACCCACTCTATCACTGCATGCACCCACTCTATCACTGCATGCACCCACTCTATCACTGCATGCACCCACTCTATCAGTGCATGCACCCACTCTATCAGTGCATGCACCCACTCTATCAGTGCATGCACCCACTCTATCAGTGCATGCACCCACTCTATCAGTGCATGCACCCACTCTATCACTGCATTGCACCCACTCTATCAGTGCATGCACCCACTCTATCAGTGCATGCACCCACTCTATCAGTGCATGCACCCACTCTATCACTGCATGCACCCACTCTATCACTGCATGCACCCACTCTATCACTGCATGCACCCACTCTATCACTGCATGCACCCACTCTATCAGTGCATGCACCCACTCTATCAGTGCATGCACCCACTCTATCAGTGCATGCACCCACTCTATCAGTGCATGCACCCACTCTATCAGTGCATGCACCCACTCTATCAGTGCATGCACCCACTCTATCAGTGCATGCACCCACTCTATCAGTGCATGCACCCACTCTAATCAGTGCATGCACCCACTCTATCAGTGCATGCACCCACTCTATCAGTGCATGCACCCACTCTATCAGTGCATGCACCACTCTATCAGTGCATGCACCCACTCTATCAGTGCATGCACCCACTCTATCAGTGCATGCACCCACTCTATCAGTGCATGCACCCACTCTATCAGTGCATGCACCCACTCTATCAGTGCATGCACCCACTCTATCAGTGCATGCACCCACTCTATCAGTGCATGCACCCACTCTATCAGTGCATGCACCCACTCTATCAGTGCATGCACCCACTCTATCAGTGCATGCACCCACTCTATCAGTGCATGCACCCACTCTATCAGTGCATGCACCCACTCTATCAGTTGCATGCACCCACTCTAATCAGTGCATGCACCCACTCTATCAGTGCATGCACCCACTCTATCAGTGCATGCACCCACTCTATCATGCATGCACCCACTCTATCACGTGCATGCACCCACTCTATCAGTGCAATGCACCCACTCTATCACTGCATGCACCCCACTCTATCAGTGCATGCACCCACTCTATCAGTGCATGCACCCACTCTATCACTGCATGCACCCACTCTATCAGTGCATGCACCCACTCTATCACTGCATGCACCCACTCTATCAGTGCATGCACCCACTCTATCAGTGCATGCACCCACTCTATCAGTGCATGCACCCACTCTATCAGTGCATGCACCCACTCTATCAGTGCATGCACCCACTCTATCAGTGCATGCACCCACTCTATCAGTGCATGCACCCACTCTATCAGCTGCATGCACCCACTCTATCAAGTGCATGCACCCACTCTATCAGTGCATGCACCCACTCTATCAGTGCAGCACCCACTCTATCAGTGCATGCACCTCACTCTATCACTGCATGCACCCACTCTATCAGCTGCATGCACCCACTCTATCAGTGCATGCACCCACTCTATCAGTGCATGCACCCACTCTATCAGTGCATGCACCCACTCTATCAGTGAATGCACCACTCAGCAGTGCATGCACCCACTCTATCAGTGGCATGCACCCACTCTAATCAGTGCATGCACCCACTTCTAATCAGTGCATGCACCCACTCTATCAGTGCATGCACCCACTCTATCAGTGCATGCACCCACTCTATCAGCTGCATGCACCCACTCTATCAGCTGCATGCACCCACTCTATCACTGCATGCACCCACTCTATCAGTGCATGCACCCACTCTATCAGTGCATGCACCCACTCTATCAGTGCCACTCTATCAGTGCATGCACCCACTCTATCAGTGCATGCACCCACTCTATCACTGCATGCACCCACTCTTTCAGTGCATGCACCCACTCTATCAGTGCATGCACCCACACTATCAGTGCATGCACCCACTCTACCAGTGCATGCACCCACTCTATCAGTGCATGCACCCACTCTATCAGTGGATGCACCCACTCTATCAGTGCATGCACCCACTCTATCAGTGCATGCACCCACTCTATCACTGCATGCACCCACTCTATCACTGCATGCACCCACTCTATCACTGCATGCACCCACTCTATCACTGCATGCACCCACTCTATCACTGCATGCACCCCACTCTATCATGTGCATGCACCCACCTCTATCAGTGCATGCACCCACTCTATCAGTGCATGCACCCACTCTATCAGTGCATGCACCCACTCTATCAGTGCATGCACCCACTCTATCACTGCATGCACCCACTCTATCACTGCATGCACCCACTCTATCAGTGCACCCACTCTATCACTGCATGCACCCACTCTATCACTGCATGCACCCACTCTATCACTGCATGCACCCACTCTATCACGTGCATGCACCCACTCTATCAGTGCATGCACCCACTCTATCAGTGCATGCACCCACTCTATCAGTGCATGCACCCACTCTATCAGTGCATGCACCCACTCTATCAGTGCATGCACCCACTCTATCAGTGCATGCACCCACTCTATCAGTGCATGCACCCACTCTAATCACTGCATGCACCCACTCTATCAGTGCATGCACCCACTCTATCAGTGCATGCAACCCACTCTATCAGTGCATGCACCCACTCTATCAGTGCATGCACCCACTCTATCAGTGCATGCACCCACTCTATCAGTGCATGCACCCACTCTATCAGTGCATGCACCCACTCTATCAGTGCATGCACCCACTCTATCAGTGCATGCACCCACTCTATCAGTGCATGCACCCACTCTATCAGTGCATGCACCCACTCTATCAGTGCATGCACCCACTCTATCAGTGCATGCACCCACTCTATCAGTGCATTGCACCACTCTATCAGTGCATGCACCCACTCTATCAGTGCATGCACCCACTCTATCACTGCATGCACCCACTCTATCAGTGCATGCATCCACTCTATCACTGCATGCACCCACTCTATCAGTGCATGCACCCACTCTATCAGTGCATGCACCCACTCTATCAGTGCATGCACCCACTCTATCACTGCATGCACCCACTCTATCAGTGCATGCACCCACTCTATCACTGCATGCACCCACTCTATCACTGCATGCACCCACTCTATCAGTGCATGCACCCACTCTATCAGTGCATGCACCCACTCTATCAGTGCATGCACCCACTCTATCAGTGCATGCACCCACTCTATCAGTGCATGCACCCACTCTATCAGTGCATGCACCCACTCTATCAGTGCATGCACCCACTCTATCACTGCATGCACCCACTCTATCAGTGCATGCACCCACTCTATCAGTGCATGCACCCACTCTATCAGTGCATGCACCCACTCTATCAGTGCATGCACCCACTCTATCATTGCATGCACCCACTCTATCACTGCATGCACCCACTCTATCACTGCATGCAACCACTCTATCAGTGCATGCACCCACTCTATCAGTGCATGCACCCACTCTATCAGTGCATGCACCCACTCTATCTGTGCATGCACCCACTCTATCAGTGCATGCACCCACTCTATCACTGCATGCACCCACTCTATCAGTGCATGCACCCACTCTATCAGTGCATGCACCCACTCTATCAGTGCATGCACCCACTCTATCAGTGCATGCACCCACTCTATCAGTGCATGCACCCACTCTATCAGTGCATGCACCCACTCTATCAGTGCATGCACCCACTCTATCAGTGCATGCACCCACTCTATCAGTGCATGCACCCACTCTATCAGTGCATGCACCCACTCTATCAGTGCATGCACCCACTCTATCAGTGCATGCACCCACTCTATCACTGCACGCACCCACTCTATCAGTGCATGCACCCACTCTATCAGTGCATGCACCCACTCTATCAGTGCATGCACCCACTCTATCAGTGCATGCACCCACTCTATCAGTGCATGCACCCACTCTTTCAGTGCATGCACCCACTCTATCAGTGCATGCACCCACTCTATCACTGCATGCACCCACTCTATCAGTGCATGCACCCACTCTATCACTGCATGCACCCACTCTATCAGTGCATGCACCCACTCTATCAGTGCATGCACCCACTCTATCACTGCATGCACCCACTCTATCACTGCATGCACCCACTCTATCAGTGTATGCACCCACTCTATCAGTGCATGCACCCACTCTATCACTGCATGCACCCACTCTATCACTGCATGCACCCACTCTATCAGTGCATGCACCCACTCTATCACTGCATGCACCCACTCTATCAGTGCATGCACCCACTCTATCACTGCATGCACCCACTCTATCAGTGCATGCACCCACTCTATCAGTGCATGCACCCACTCTATCACTGCATGCACCCACTCTATCAGTGCATGCACCCACTCTATCAGTGCATGCACCCACTCTATCAGTGCATCCACCCACTCTATCAGTGCATGCACCCACTCTATCAGTGCATGCACCCACTCTATCAGTGCATGCACCCACTCTATCAGTGCATGCACCCACTCTATCACTGCATGCACCCACTCTATCACTGCATGCACCCACTCTATCAGTGCATGCACCCACTCTATCACTGCATGCACCCACTCTATCAGTGCATGCACCCACTCTATCAGTGCATGCACCCACTCTATCACTGCATGCACCCACTCTATCAGTGCATGCACCCACTCTATCACTGCATGCACCCACTCTATCACTGCATGCACCCACTCTATCACTGCATGCACCCACTCTATCACTGCATGCACCCACTCTATCACTGCATGCACCCACTCTATCAGTGCATGCACCCACTCTATCAGTGCATGCACCCACTCTATGAGTGCATGCACCCACTCTATCACTGCATGCACCCACTCTATCAGTGCATGCACCCACTCTATCACTGCATGCACCCACTCTATCAGTGCATGCACCCACTCTATCAGTGCATGCACCCACTCTATCACTGCATGCACCCACTCTATCAGTGCATGCACCCACTCTATCACTGCATGCACCCACTCTATCACTGCATGCACCCACTCTATCAGTGCATGCACCCACTCTATCACTGCATGCACCCACTCTATCAGTGCATGCACCCACTCTATCAGTGCATGCACCCACTCTATCAGTGCATGCACCCACTCTATCACTGCATGCACCCACTCTATCACTGCATGCACCCACTCTATCACTACATGCACCCACTCTATCACTGCATGCACCCACTCTATCACTGCATGCACCCACTCTATCAGTGCATGCACCCACTCTATCAGTGCATGCACCCACTCTATCAGTGCATCCACCCACATGCACCCACTCTATCAGTGCATGCACCCACTCTATCAGTGCATGCACCCACTCTATCAGTGCATGCACCCACTCTATCACTGCATGCACCCACTCTATCACTGCATGCACCCACTCTATCAGTGCATGCACCCACTCTATCAGTGCATGCACCCACTCTATCACTGCATGCACCCACTCTATCACTGCATGCACCCACTCTATCAGTGCATGCACCCACTCTATCAGTGCATGCACCCACTCTATCAGTGCATGCACCCACTCTATCAGTGCATGCACCCACTCTATCAGTGCATGCACCCACTCTATCAGTGCATGCACCCACTCTATCAGTGCATGCACCCACTCTATCAGTGCATGCACCCACTCTATCAGTGCATGCACCCACTCTATCAGTGCATGCACCCACTCTATCACTGCATGCACCCACTCTATCACTGCATGCACCCACTCTATCAGTGCATGCACCCACTCTATCACTGCATGCACCCACTCTATCAGTGCATGCACCCACTCTATCACTGCATGCACCCACTCTATCAGTGCAGGCACCCACTCTATCAGTGCATGCACCCACTCTATCACTGCATGCACCCACTCTATCACTGCATGCACCCACTCTATCAGTGTATGCACCCACTCTATCAGTGCATGCACCCACTCTATCACTGCATGCACCCACTCTATCACTGCATGCACCCACTCTATCAGTGCATGCACCCACTCTATCACTGCATGCACCCACTCTATCAGTGCATGCACCCACTCTATCAGTGCATGCACCCACTCTATCAGTGCATGCACCCACTCTATCACTGCATGCACCCACTCTATCACTGCATGCACCCACTCTATCACTGCATGCACCCACTCTATCACTGCATGCACCCACTCTATCAGTGCATGCACCCACTCTATCAGTGCATGCACCCACTCTATCACTGCATGCACCCACTCTTTCTCTACGCCCCTGCTCTCCTCCCTTCTCTCAGGTCCAGCACTGGGGGGCTTCCTGTGCGAGCCTGCACTGAAGTACCCATGGCTGTTCCCCTCGCACTCTCTCTTCGCCCGCCTCCCCTTCCTCCTGCCCTGCCTGCTGCTCGCCCTCCTCTCCCTCCTCGGCCTCCTCGCCACCGCTGCGCTGCTGCCAGAGACCAAGGGGTGGGCTCACCGGGTGGTTGACATAGACCGTGAGATTCGATCTGATGATGCTCATAGTCCTGTGACTCCTGTCTGTTCCGGTGGTGGTAGCAGTGGTGGCAGTCTCGCTGCCAGTGCGGCTGCTGCACTGCTGCCAGAGACCAAGGGGTGGGCACACCCTGTGGTTGACATAGACCGTGAAATCCAATCCGATCAATCTCTTGACAAGGAGTGTTGCAGTAGCAGGTTTGGCAGCGGCAGCAGTGGTGGTGGCAGCAGCAGGAGTGGCAGCAGCGACAGCAGCAACAGTGGCAGCTTGGGCAGTGGAAGCAGTATTGGCAGCAGCAGCAGCAGGAGCAGCAGCAGCAACGTGGGGAATGGAAGTAGGAGGTCAAGCCTGAGCCAGCCACTGTTACAATCCATTGCAGAAGAGCGAGGAGAAGAGGAGGGGGAGGAGGAAGGGGAGGAGAAGGAAGCGAGGAAGCTTGGATGGGAGGAAGAAGGGAAGGATGGGGAAGGGTGTGGAGAATTGAGAGGAGGAAGAGAGGGAGCTGAGGCAGGAGCAGGGCAGTCAAGAGGGAGTGGCGGGATGTGGGGTACGAGCTTAGGAGAGGGTGAACGGCCAGAGGCCACAGGGGGAAGAGAAGCAGGCGGAGGAGGGGGAGAAAGGGGAGGAGGGTGGGGGAAGTATGATGAGGAGCGGGCATGCATGGTAGCTGACAACAGAGGGCACCTGAAGGATCACCTGGGTGGGAAACAGCTGGATGGGGATCATTTGAGGGAGCCACTACTTGAATCAAGAGAGAGAGGAGGGGAGCTGCAGGAAACCGGAGTTGATACTGACAGCTCTGCCACTGCTAATGACTTCTGCTCCCCCTCCTCCCGTTTCTCCTCCTCCTCCCTTTTCTCCCCCTCCTCCCGTTTCTCCTCGTCCCGTTTCTCCTCCTCCCGTTCCTCTTCCCTCCTTTGCTGCTACTGCCTGCCCAAGCTGCAGTGTCTCTGCTGCTGCTGCCTCCCATCCCCCTCTCTCTCCCCGGTGAACCTCTTCTCGCCTCTCTGTGGCCACCACCTCGCACGCGCTCTCTTTGATTCTGCCACTGGTACCTCTCCCCACTCCTCTGAACCTCTTTAGCGTCGGTTTTGGGAATTTCCGAGTCTCACAAACGCATTCCTTGATTCTGCCACAGGTTCTTGCTCTCTTGCGTTCTCCCTCCCTCCCTTCCTCCCCTCGTCTCCCCCGCCTCCTTCCCGCCGCATTTCATTTCACCATTCTCTTTCTGCTTCTCTCTCTCAACTCCGTTTTCAAAATCCAACCCATCACATCAAACTCTCGCACCCACATGTGACTTTTGAGTCGACTCTAAAGTCACCTCTGTGCTGAGGCCTCCGCAGCCCACCTGTCCGCTACTGACAGCTCTCGCACCCTCATGTGCTCCCCATCCGTCTCTTCAAGTCCGCTTCCTTCTCGTATGTTTTTTTAGAACTCTCAAAAAACATACCCTCATGTGCTCCCCATCCATCTCTTCAAGACCGCTTCCTTCTCTTTTTGAGGTGCCTCAAAAATCCTTTCTGCTCCTAACCCTGCTGCTTGCCTTCGCTTGCCTCTCTTGCCCTTCCTCTTCTCTGCTCAGCTTCTACAGTTGCCACCACCCTAAGTCTCTCTGTCGTTCAGTTCCCGCAATTACCACCGTCACCATCACCATCACCATCACCATCACCATCACCATCATCATCATCATCTCTCTCAGTGAAGGCGTTCCTGTTCCTCTCTGCTCAACTTCTACAGTTGCTTCAAGCACCAACCCTACCCTCTCCAGTGCTCAACCCCGCATTCATCACCTTCACTCCACATCACTCCACCATCATCATTTCCATCACCATCATTTCTCCCAGTAAAGGCGTTCCTCTTCCTCTCCCTGCTCAGCTTCGCTACAACCTCATTCAACGAGGTGAGCTGCTAAGCAGAATGTGATGACAACGAGGTGACTTGTAACAACAACAGTTGCGAACATGCGACACAGGGAGGTGAGGTGCCAAGATGTCACGATACTGATGCGGCCCACCTGCAAAAGCTCGTTCACCTGTCAGTGGGTGACGCACGTAGGCTGGATTTACAGCCGCTTCAGGATATATGCATCACTCACGCTGGGATTCCGCTATGCTGACTTTTGAGTCAACTCAAAAGTCACCTCAGTACAGCCACTGCAGGATACATGCATCACTCACGCTGGGATGCATCTATGCCATCTTGATCCTCTCGTGACAATTCCAGACAATAACACTGAATAATTAGTTCTCTCTCTTTCACTCGCGCTTCACCTCTTCCTCTCCCTCCCAGGTCTTTCCTCTCTGGAGCCTCACTGACTGGAGGTTTGGAGGGCTCAGCTTCGGCACAAACCAAGTTGCCATGGCCCAAACCTGTGCTGGAATATGCTCTGTAGGTGCTCAAAGCTGCAGCTCGTTCAACCAAATGTCTTTGATGCTTCTGATTGCAGGCATAATCAGAAGCAGCAGGTGTTACTGATAAATAATCTTTCATGACCAGATGAATCGATTTGTCTTCAAACCGTCAAGCTCAACACAGCGAGCAACTCCTCTTGACTGGAAGCTGGAAATCTCTTTTGAGGTGTCTCAAGACTGGAAAGGAAACAGGAAATATCATTGCTCGGTCCATTTCGTTCATTCTCCTTCAATATTTATCTCCCTGCCTCTCTTTCTCACGCCCCTTCCTGCCTTCAGCTTATCCCTCCCAACACCCGCTTGCGTCGACTCAGATGATTTTCCGGTTGTGACAAAGCTGTATATAGTCGGCTTACAATTCCTGTCTGTTTATTACTCTCAGGTGATTTTCCAGCTGTACGTGTATGCGCCTCTTGTCAACAGAGTGGGTGCCCGGGGAGCCGTTCAGGTGAGTGAGTGTTACTGTGACTCATGTTAGTGTTACTGTAGCTCAAGTGAGTTTGCACACGAATGATTTATTCGGTAGTTCGCTTATTCACTTCTCATATCAATTCTGCATGCCTTCTCTCCTGCCTGTCATTCGTCGTGCTGTTTCGGCCAATCAGGTGGCGCTGTCAGTCGGATTCGTTATAGTCACATGGCTTCCCTTCATCCGCATGTTCGGCCATGGCAGTGGCGCCACTGTCATCGCTGCTTGCCTCTCTCTCGCCCTGCGAAGGTGCGCTTTCAAGATAAGAGTGCCAGCATGGACACTTTGTTTGAGCCGAGTTGCTTTCTGGGAGTTTACTCAGGTTGAGTTGCTTTCTGAGTGGCCAGTGAAAGCATGGGTGTGGCCATTGAGGCACGGGAAGAATCACTGTGGTCTGCCGCTTGTGACTTAATCCGGCACTATGATGTGGAGGTTTATTTATTCCACACCTGTCTGCTTGTGAAGACTCATTTCACATCTGTTTGCTTGTGCACGTTTGCACACTTGAATCTAAAAACTGCAGCCAGCCAGGATATTGATGGCTCGTGTCACGTTTGTGTGTTGTGTGTGATATATGAGATGCATGTCATGTTTTTGACGTGCGGGGTGGGTATGATGTGTGTGATGCATGTGGTGCATGTGATGCATGTGATGCATGTAATGCATGTGATGGATGTGATGCATGTGGTGTGCGGTATTTGTTTGGCATCTGGTGCATGCATCTGCAGTTTTGCGCAGTGTGTGTTCACATCAGGTTTTATCTTCATCAACAACAGCATCTCGGATCCAGCTTTGATTGGTGCCGTCACAGGGATCACTCAATCCATCAGTCTTTTTTTCAGGGCAATGGCACCTGCTGCTGGTGCTACCGTGTTTGCATGGAGCATCAGTGGTACACATTTCTTTCTGCTGGACCATCACTTGTTTTTCTTTGCGCAGGCGGTGCTTCAGCTTGTTTTAATCATGATTTCTCGGTCCATGCCGGACCATATTGACACGCCTAAGTTTGTTCGACGGCAAACGACTTAGTGGATATGTCATGCCACTTCAACATATCTTACCATGTGACAAAGGTGCATTTGGTAAGCCTTTTCTTATCAATGAGCTCATTAGAGGAGATGCAACCCCACAAGCCTCGGCCCCTGGTTTGTCAACATTGATCTCAACTCGAGGCTCGGTCCGCCAGCCATATTTGAGGTTCGTGGGCCCAGGCTGATTCTGCAGCCGCAGACACTGACCAGGCATGACGTCAACAACGCCTCCCTTTTTGCCACAAGGTCTCCGTAAACCAATTACCGTGCCTGATCACTTGCCGAACCTCTATTGTAACCTCCAATTAGCGTCATCCGACACGTCTTCTCCCCTCCGGCGTGGAGCAGCAGCCAACAGCAACCAAACGCCAACACACGATTTCTATGTGGCTTTGGTTCCCCTGATAACGCCTAATATCGTTGCAGAAAGTAATTAAACCGTAATAAAAACGCTTTGCACATCATTCCTGATTGCTTCGACATGGCGCCCCTCACAAGCCACAACCACCCAACCACCCGTTCTCAGCCATGAACTGATTTCTGATGCTAATCTTTATTTCTATTTGGAGTAATTCGAGTGTCTCGAGAAGTGTTCGTAGTTCTCGTTGGAGCTTCAGTTTTCTTTTTCCCAATCTTCATTTCAGGGTCGCACGTAGATCGAGCTGTTTTCTCTGTTGCAGTTAGACTAGCCGTCGATCAGACCGGCCGCCAGCTGTGATCAGCGCTAGTTGCTGGTCAACATGCCGCCAGGCAACCCGTCAGAAGTCGACGAGAGAAAGAATAGCTCAGCCTCCATAAGTATACCCAGTGTTGATACCAGCGATGCGAGGAATGGCGAAGCGCCCAAAGAGCAGGAAGCAGTGGTGCCGCCAACGGTCAAGTTTATAATCGGCAACGAGTTCTGCGAGAGATTCTCCTTCTATGGCATGCGAGCGATCCTGGCGATGTACCTGAACGAGAGATTAAAGCTGTCGCAGGCAACGGCGACGGAGATGGTGCATCTCTTCATCGTCGCCGCGTACCTCGCTCCCCTGTTGGGCGCTTTCATAAGTGATAGCTACTTGGTAAGGCTCTGCCATCATGGAACGCCAGGTGGTTTCCATAGTTATGATACGTGACTGCGACTGTATGGCATCGCCGCGTACCTGTTCCCTGCTCGGCGGCCTCATAAGCGATAACCACCTGGTAAGAAGTCGATGTTATTCTCTTCTGTAAATCCGGAGCCGATCCAACGGATGATCCATGAATAACAGGTGCTATACCAAAAAAAAACATCCTGAACCTATCCTTCATCTAACACACCGAGTTCTGAATCACCTCGATCCTCGATATTTCCCACTTGTCTCCCCGCGCGCCCACCACAGGGCAAGTACCGGACCATCCTGTACCTCTCCTTCATCTACTGCGCCGGCAATTGGCTCGTCGCCTTCTCCGCGCTTCACACCACGCCGTCCGCCGCGCTCCCGTGGGCCCTCGCCGGCCTATCCTTCCTAGCCTTGGGCAGCGGCGGCATCAAGCCGTGCGTGTCGTCGTTCGGCGGCGATCAGATCGAGATGACCAACCCTCCCGGCGCGGCTCGGGACCGCCTGGTTCGGCAGTTCTTTTCGTATTTCTACTTCGCGATCAACGTCGGGTCCGGGATCTCGACGATTGTCACGCCGCTGCTGCGCGTTAATCTGTCGTATAGCGCCGCGTTCGCGCTGCCGGCCGTGCTGATGATGGTTGCCACGTGTCTCTTCTGGCTCGGCAGCGGGAGTTACGTGCACCAGCCGCCAGCGGGGAACGTGGTGTCGGAAGTCCTCTCTATAATCATCTCCGCTTTATGGCCGGGGAAGGCGCGGCGGAAATCCTACCCGACCCTCGCCATGCCCATGCCCGTGCCAATCCCGGAACGCCACGCCAGCTGCGCTGACGTGGACAGCTCCCCGCTCCTCTCCAGCAGCCCAGCGTCGTTCGGCGCGGGTGGCGGCGGCGGGGGAGGTAGCAGCCATGGAGGGGGGAACCGCTTCCAACCGGGGAGCCCGCTGCAGGGCCAAAATCACAGTTACTCCGAATCATCATCTCAGACTCAGACTCAGCAGAGGAAGGGCAGTCAGCCAACGCTGCAGAAGAAGCTGTCGAAGCGGGGCAGCAAGCGGGCCATAGTGCCGGTGGGATATGTTCCCAAAGCGC